GGTAGTCTTAAATTCGTATAGTGCTAGTGGTAGTTGTGTTACTGGTACCCATAACATTGATATGCTAATAGTGGTGGTTTAATGGAATGGTATTCGTTTCGGTATGATTGAATGGTAGTTTTCTATTGGTACCAGTTGTAATGGTAATTGTGTTACTGGTACCAATGACAGTGGTATGCTAATAGTGGTAGTTTAATGGAATGACACAACTTGTTCTATCTGTAGTGGAACTGGTACCAATTGATTTGAAGTAGTGCCACTGAAGGGTAACCATTACATACTAATTGGTACCAATAACATTCTAGATTGTTAGTAGTAGTATTGTATAATAACATTCTACATTGCTAGTAGTAGTAGTAGTAGCAGTACTTGTAGTGATATCATGTTAGAAGTGTGGATCTCAGTGAGAAGATAACCCTCTTGAAGTTTTGAGTAAAAATTTGTACCTAGCATTTTTTTGTTGTTGTTGCAGGAATGGCAGAACAAAGATCTCAGCTATATCATCCGTGAAAACACACAACCTGATGGTTGTGCATCTCGACAGGTAACAATGCGCTTGGGGGACTCAAGTTATTCGAGTGCTGGGCCTAGTAAAAAACGACCACGTGACGAGGAAACAAAGAGTCGCAACAAGAAGAAGAAGCAACGGACTGTAGCGTCAAGTCAAAGCACCTTCAAGAAGAAGTGCAGTCCGACTTCAATCATCGAGATTATGGAGGCCGATATTTCGGATGAGAAGAAGGTTGGGCTAGGTTGTGTGTTGGATTTAAAGAGTAGCATAATTGCTTCATGTACGTTTCCAAGTATGAAGAAGTTTATGGGTATTTCTTGTCTTTAATTTGATCTTGGGTAAAGTACTGTTGCTTACATTGGCACAATTGGTTAGGTGTTTGATTGTGAAAATTTAGTACATTCTCCACCGACTATAGAAATATCCCTTCACTGGTACCAAATCAATAGTACTGATACCAAATTTATGCCACGGGTAACCATTAATAAGACTGGTACCAAATCAGTGGTACTCGTACCATTAATAAGATTGGTACCAATTAATGCTACGTGTAACCATTACTAAGGCTGGTACATAATCAGTGGTACTAGTTACATTAATAAGAATGGTACCAAATTAATGGTATTGGTAACAATTACTGAAAACTGGTACCAAATCGGTGGTACATGTACCATTACTAATACCAATACCTAATTAATGGCATTTGTACCATTAATAGACTGGTACCAATTGAGTTTTACCGGTACAATTTTAATGGTAATGTCTCCACTGTAATGGTATTGGTACCAATGTAAATGACTATTGTTGGTATACCTTTAGTGGTATACCCTGTACGAACTGTTATGGACGTGGAACTGCACATCAACGTGATGCACGCTAAAACAGCCCAAGAAATATGGGAAGATCTTCGTGATAGATTCAGCAAAGGCAATCTCGCGTGTGCCTATGATTTGCAGCGACACATCAGTCTTCTACAGCAAGAAAAATTGTCTATTTGAAGTTTCTATTCTAAAATCCGAAAATTTTGGGAAGAGACCCAATCTATCCTCCTACCGCGTGGTCTGTCAGTGCGGTCGCCGATGCCACGATCAAAACGAGAGTTTGCGACTGTTGAATTTTCTACTTGGGTAGCCACAGTTGGGAGTCACATCCTATCCATGGCATCACCCCGTCTTTACCTGAAGCCTTCCATACTGTATGCAACGACGAGTAGGAGCGAACCCTCACCCAAAAACTGCAAGCCTATTCCTGAGGCTGCTCACTTTGTTGCTTGTGGTGAGGCCGACAAGGTCCTTTTTGCAGCTGCTCGCAATTCTCGAGAGCGTGGGATGGGAGAACGCGGTGCTGGTGACAAGGAGCACCCAGTTTGCACAAACTGCAATAAGGTAGGACATCTTTGTTAAGCTTGCTTTGAGATCATAGGCTGGCCACCGCGACAAGCAGAACGATCGTCAAAATCATGGCAAATCGCGCGAGTCTGGTCGCGATAATGGTGGATCTCGTGGTTTCAGTCGTGAACCTAGGGTTGCTCAAACCGAGACTGAGTCGAGTCCTATTACTGGTTTTTTAGTTTAGCTGCTAGCACAATTGAAGAAATTCTTTGGAAATCAGTTCCATGGCGTTAATGATGCCATAAGTCAAATGGCTGGTACGTTTTCCTTTTCCCAAGAATCTGAAAGGTCAATTGATTCCAGGTGCAACGAACACATCATCATGAATTATTCTGCCTTGTTAACACATGGTTCTAGTTATTTTAGTCAGCTAGTTCGTATTCCTAATGGAGCCAACATCCCAGTTAAACGGATTGGTTCAATGCGGGTGAATAAAATCATGGTTCTTGGCCGAGTTTTATATGTCCCTAAAGTTTAGGTACCAAACTATAATTTGAAAATGGGTATGGGTACAAACCCAAATACATGGACTAAAAATCCAACCCAAATAAATGGATATGGCTACAAACCCATCAAACTCTACCAATTTATCATCTATGAGGATTTCATACCCAACCCAATTGGGTTGGATAGTAAAATACTCATGGGTATGGGCAAAATAGCCATCCCGATTTGCAACGTCACTGGTAAAGATGGCTCATTCATATGACGGATGGGCCATGATAGAACTTTTGAAGAATGCAACTAAAAAGTGTTTGTGCCATCATAAAGAAAAATGAAGCGTCTTCAATGGGTTTTAAAATCTATGCGTGCCACAAGTTATGGTTAAAGTACATGAGGATGTTAGAATGGGATGTGGTGAATAGATAACACCTAAATAGGTGTTACTTATCTTCTTAATACTGGTGTTTTCATGCCATTTTGAGCATTACAAGATTGTTTGAGCCTTTGATGTAGCCTAGATTGCTCCATTGCCTTGGTTTGTGATTTATTAGGTGGTATCGTGAGTTTCAAACAAATATGACAAAGATCATGGGTTCAAGTATAGGAAAATAGGCAAATCCTCGATTCTGTGCAAGGGTTGTCGTAATTAGATTGTGGCCTATGCGCAAGATCGCGACAGGATCTCAAATCCTTAGGTTGTGATCTTAGAGAGGCAGCAGACAGAGAATCACAAAAGGAATTGTGGGGGAAGTCACACTCCTTAAGTTTGAGACTACAAGGGAGATCGTGGTCGCGACTTCCGGATCACGGTCGTGAACTCTACCCCACAATCTTTCCTCCAAAGAAGCCAAAAGCAGCGACGTATCTAGATCACGACCTAGTGCCTATGATCGCAACATCAAACTCACCAGAGCTTGCTACGACTCGTCTGCGAGAAAATGCTCTAGACCGTGAGCTTTGACACTTTTCAACATTTTGTCCCGTTTTGGTTCCCTTTTGTCCAACTTTCTTTCCTTTTGCCAATTACACATGATAGGACCTGAAATACACTCAAACATGCAAAACCTAGCAGAAAAATGGCTTCAAAGACGATGACACACAAGTCAAACAACCAAGAAATAAGGGTATAAATGTGTATAATTTGGCTTGAATCAAATGTTCAAGTTTAAAATTCATAACTTATTAAATGTTAATTAATTGCAAGTTTTATAAGTAACTACTCATTAATTAGTGTAGGGGTTATGCCATGACTATGGGTAAATTGGTATATCAAATACTATAAGAGTTAGCATCATGCTAACCATTCTAATCATCTTTGATTAGTTTGAAGTTAAATCTAATGGTGGAGAGTAATGAGGGGTATATTCGATATATGAGTAAATTAACTTAATAATTAAAAACAAACAATTTTAATATAATGGTTGTGAGCTTAATTAGCACGGTGCTAGTCCCGTAAGGGTTAGAAACTAATCCATTCCCAAATACTAAATAATACCAAAATCAATCTTAATTCGAAATATTTCGATACAGTATCAAAACATAACAAATACTAAATTAAATCTCGTCATATTTAATAATCAAATAGACAAATAATAATAAGGTAGTTTCAGCTTAACGTAAAATATTAAAAAACTTTCTAATTGTGTATATAAATAGTGGATTATTGTGTACAATGGACTAAATTTATACTTCAATATTATAAATCACACATAATTGTCTAAATCTAAATTTAGTTTCACTTTAATAATTCATCAATGTAACTAAGCAATTCATTCTTCTAAAATACTTCCATCATCCGCATAAATACAATTCAATAAGAATTAGTCACTTCTTACAAAGTTACAATCACATAGATAATTATAAATTTTGGTTAAGGCCTTAAGGGTGAACCATGACCTTTATTTATTTGAGAGGGGTCGAAGCTCATTAAGTTAATGAAAGATTCATTGTACATCATGTTTAAAATTTTGATATTTTAGATATTTTGGCATATATCAATTCCAATCTCAAACATTGAATACTACTAAAAAAATCAATTTCAATTATAAACCCACAAAATTAACTAGGCATTCTATAATATCAGATATTGATAAATTCATATCTCGAAGCAAACCACCTGCTACCGCCCAAGACCTTGGTTTCCTTAGTGATCAATTCGTATTAATTGTAGTCAATCAATCCCAACGATGATGTTGTTCTCGTAGTCTGGAGATTGATATCCTAAGGCGGCAAAAGATGTTTATCCGAGTTCAACCGACTAGCAAGCCAAGTGTCGCCCCAAAAGCTCGTTGATTTGCCATCACGTACACTCAGTAGAGCTCCTGCTTCATCAAAGGCCAGGCTTGAGTTAATTATTATGTAGTAATTTTAAAAAATTAACATACACATTATAATTACATTTTGTTTAAGTGATTTTCCTGTCAACGGATAGACACTAAAAATTAGTATTTTGTTAAAGATATGTTTCAATTCTCGTAGAGTTTCCGAAGATCTCAAACCGATAAATCTTAAATTTGATCTCACTCCGCCATCATTCAAAAGATGTAATCGTGAAAATGTAGGTTATATAAAAAAAAAAAGACATTTTGATAAAATTAGTGTTGCGCCAGAGTTTAAAAAGCCAAAACGGCAAAACCTCATCCACTCGGAGCAAAATCTGGTTCCCATTTCTACGGTTGCTCGATGTGCCATGTCAAAGTTAAAAGATCTTTCAAGTCTCCAACCTTCCTCTATTTCATTTCCCCCTTATCTACACTCTGCTGCAATACGCAGCACAGACCCTCTCACTCTCTTCTCTGACACATTCCCAACTCAATCCTGCAATTTAGAGAATACCCCGGCACCGGAGCAAAGGAATTGGTTTCTCCAGATGATAAAGGAGGCCGGTTTGGGTTTATGAGCCTCGGGGAATTCTATCAAAATGGACGCTTCAAGAACTTTGCTTTCTTCACCACCGCCCTTCCCTGCAAGAATCCAATCGAAAAGCTCCGTCTCTTCCTCAGGTGACCCACTGAATTCGCTTTGTTGAATGTATGGAGAGGGTAAACGACTGCTAATATTGAAAGTAATGCTCGACTATGGTTGAAATTCTGCAGTGTTGATGCTACACGAACACGTTGCCCCCTTAGCTTCTACGGTTCCTTCCACTTCCACCGCTCGACATCTGCCTACCTCTGCGCTTTTACAAGAGCAGCGCGATGAGTATTGGCCTCTCCTCAACTCGTCCAAGGATGAACCGACATCTCAGGTTTCTGAATCTTTCCTTGTTAACACAATAGGTGCCCCCATAACTAAAATGTCGCCCTATGTGTACGCTCATGAGCTTAGCTAAAGCCTTCTGGAAGGTATATCCTAGTTGTGAACATTCTATAATAGCTTTGGGCCAATAGAGATGCCAATGTTCTAATTAGAAGATTGACATGGGTGTTTGGTAATGGGTGGTGGTGTTTGATATTACTGTCCTTTAAGATTAAACCACCATGTCTGGCTCCTCAGAAGAACACAATCTCTCTTTCTTTCCTTGAAGGCATTGACGGACGGAAGACAGACTGATATTGGGACTTCGATCCATGAAGGGGAGAATTCAGATGATGTAGACAAATTGGTGCGGGACTTAGAGCAACAGCTGCTTCACAGTCATTCTTTTTGGAATGCGTAAGAACTGTACTGTAACCATGGCTTTTTTTTTCGGTACCCAAAATCGTAAATTTATTGATTGGGACATGGATACTAAATGACATTGTTTCTGTGGTGGTCTGACATGTTGAAGAGAGCCATGTATACGAGCGGGGAGAAATCGGTTGTCACCAGAGCCAGCTATTGGACCATGCAGTGCAATCGATCTAGCGAAGGAAGCTTTAAGTGCCTCAAAAGAAGCAGCATTGTTAGCTGAAAACAGCACCGATGTTGATAGTGCCGCCAGGTTTGTATCATGTTCTTGTTTCCTTGATTATGCCATTTTGTTACTGTCATCTATAGCTGTAGAACTGATTTCTAGAGCCTTTTGCAGCTTGAAATCCCCTACTTCATCTGGATTTGCAGCCGATGAGGTGAAAATAGTTAGGTCCACTCGCCGTTCAGAGAGGCCTTCCAAGAGTCGAAGAATGTCACGAACTAAGTATGCATTTGATCAGACTCCAAGTTCTAGGAAGCCTAATAATGTACAGAAAAGGACAAATGAAGCTTTCCAGCTCAATGATCCTGTTCGATTATTCTTGGCTGCTCCTGAGACAAAACAACTTTTGACAGCTGAGGAGGAATCTAACATTGTCATCCAAGTTCAGGTTTATCTCTAGTTACAATAGAATTTGACATTTGGGATATGTTTTGGATTTAGTGATTCAGAATCCAAGACTGGTCATATTGTTAGGCATTATAGTGTCTTTTTTAATTTTACATGGTAATATGTGGCAGGAAATGATGAAGTTGGAAGAGGTGAAGAGCAGGCTTCAATCTCAGTTTGGCCGTGAACCAACATTTTCTGAATGGGCTGAAGCTGTAGGGCTGAGTCGTTTTGTCTTGAAGTCACGACTTCACTCTGGTACAAGCTGCAGAGAGAAGCTGATTAATGGGAATTTGAGGATGGTTGTTCATATTGCCAAACAATATCAAGGACGTGGTCTTGGTCTCCAGGACTTGCTGCAGGTCAACTGCAACCTATTTGCTTAGTGGTACACTTAAAAGTTACTCTATTGTTTGGACGTGTGATGATTTTGATTTGTGGTGCTCAGATATGTGCATGGTCTTTGTTTTGCAGGAGGGAAGTATTGGTCTCATGAGGAGCATTGAGAAGTTCAAACCTCAAGCTGGTTGTCGCTTTCCTTCTTATGCTTATTGGTGGATAAGGCAAACTATTAGAAAAGCCATATATCAGCATTCTAGGACAATTCGCTTACCGGTATTGACAATCTGCCTTTAACTTCATTGTCTTTTCCTCAAGTCGTTTGAGGTTATGGGTTTACCTGAAAAACGAGACAATTTTGAGAATTGCTTCATTTTGCAAAACGGGTCATTTAAAACGAGACTATTCGAATAGTCTGCCCTTACCCCAGACAATTGTAATTGCCTTAAAACGAGTCAATTTGAAATTCCCAAGACAGAATTGCTTCATCTAAATTTTGTGCGACCAAACGGATCAATTTTGCCAAATTGTCTCAAAAGGAAAAACAATTGGGTCAAATTGATCCGTTTGAATCCAAACGACCCCTGAAGAACATGTATGAAGGGGATGTTTTTATAAGCAGAGGTTTCCCATCCCGTTTTAAGACAAGTTTGCTTTTTGCAGGATAACTTGTATGCGCTACTTGGAAAGGTAATAGAAGCCAAGAGAGGCTGTAATAGGGAAGGCAATCATGATCCTAGCAAAGAAGATATTGCAAGAAAGGCTGGAATCACTGTTGAAAAGTTGGAGAAGTTGCAGTTTGCTGCAAGAATACCAATCTCAATGCAACAGACTGTTTGGACGGATCAAGACACTACTTTCCAAGTAAATAAACACTCTTTCCATATCTCTCATTGCCTTTTGAGGATGGACCAAGTGTAAAAGATGTGCAATAATGCTCCAACTCCTGCAGGAAATTACTGCAGATCAGGGGGTCATGACACCAGAGGTGGAGGTGGCGAAGCAGCTGATGAGGCGGCACATTCGTGGCCTACTAACGATTCTGAGCCCAAGGGAGAGGCAGATCATCAAGCTGAGATTTGGCATCGACGACGGCAAAAGGGTGTCGTTGTTGGAGATTGGTAACATGTATGGGTTGTGCAAGGAAAGGGTGCGCCAGCTGGAGAGCCGTTCGCTTAATAAGCTCAGGCAGTGCCTGGGCAGCCATGGACTAGATGCCTACACAGATTTGCTTGTTTGAAAATGGGGAAGAAAGAACATGATCATGTAAAGACATAAGAGAACTAGCATCTTATCAAACACTCTGTGTAGCTATTTACTTATACCTTCTGTAAATGTTTTTTCTGCATGTTCATAGCTAATGGCTCTGGTTCTACCGGCTTTTGAAGCATCTACTTTGATATAGAGAGAGCAATTTGGGACCCAACGAGAATTCCTACGTTGTCAATGTTGTTTCTTGTTTGTGGAGTCAGAAAGTCCAAACCTTTATTCCGTTTTCGTGATGAAGAGAATACATATTTAGTGGTTGGGTCGTGGAGCAATGGAAGCAATGGTTTGCTTTTGCTATGGGTTAATCGTCTTCTTCTCACTGAGGAACATTCTAGAACAGAGAAATCCTTACTGCGAGAGGATTCTTAGAGCGGAGAGGAAAAGGAAAAAAAAGGAACTCAACATCACGAGTCTAAAAAGAAAACAGAGAAATCTTTTCTTTTGAAACAAGAAACGAAGCTAATACTCATTTTAACTCCTCCGTCTATAAATACTCCGGAACAGCCCCTCCGATTTCCTTAACTTCAGATCCCAAATTCCTCACCCAAAACTCTCCCAATTTGTTGCGCCCAACCAAATCAATCTCCTTTCCAAGTATCTGCATCTCTCTCGACCATGTCGAACCAAGCTGAATCCTCCGATTCGTGAGTACACTCTTTTTTTTTTTTTTTGGCGTCAGATCTACAATTTCGCCTCTCGCCATTGTTGTGTTTCCGTGTGTGGGTGCGATAGCTGGTTGATTTGATCTCAGTGGTTTAATGGCTCTCGATGTTGTTGTTGTTGCAGTAAGGGAACAAAAAGGGACTTCAGTACCGCGATTTTGGAGCGCAAGAAGGCTGCCAACCGCTTGGTAGTCGACGAGGCTGTCAACGATGACAACTCCGTCGTCGCTCTCCATCCCGACACCATGGAGAAGCTACAGCTTTTCCGCGGTGATACCATCTTGATAAAGGTTATAGCTTGCTGACTTTTGATCTTCCGCTACATTTTTCTTTTGTGGTTCTTGCAATTGAGGGGCTGGATTGAGGATTTATGGTTGTTGGGAACTATGGTTTGCAATTTGGCCCTTGCTCATCTAGGTTTTACTGATCTCCTTCGGGGATGTGTTGGCTGTTTCACCTGGGTGTTATGGTTATTGAACTGAGTTTATATCCTCTGTTTGTTGGATTCTGCTGCATAAAAATAGCCTTGGTTATCTTCCTGCTGTGGTTCTCAGAAAGCGATAGAAGTTCCCCTGAAGTGCTTAATGATAGACAGAATTTTTTTGTTTATCTTTCTTTAAAAGTTGAGTCTACTTGCTCTTTTGGCCAATGCCGGGAACTTGTATCTTAATGTTTTCTGCTACTGATTCGAGTAGCTGGTTCAGAGTCCAACCCATGTTCGATCTTCTGGGCTTACTTGTTTCTATTGTTGGAGTTCAGGGAAAGAAGAGAAAAGATACCATCTGCATTGCCCTTGCTGATGAGACATGCGACGAGCCAAAGATTAGGATGAACAAGGTTGTTAGGTCAAACCTCAGGGTTAGACTTGGAGACGTTGTGTCTGTTCACCAATGCCCTGATGTCAAGTATGGAAAGCGCGTTCACATTCTACCCATTGATGATTCAATTGAAGGGGTGACTGGAAATCTTTTTGATGCATATTTGAAACGTAAGCTCTGAGCATGTGGTCCTTTGGTATTCAAGATATATACTTTCCAATTTTGATTGTGATGGTTGTAGTTATCTGCACTAGGAGTTCTCTGGTCTTTTTACTGAATTTGTGTGTTTCAGTTTGATCAAAATAAACATAAGCTTTTCCTCAGTCTCTTCTTGTGTCTTTGATGAAGCATTATCCATATGTTCTGTTACTGCTAAAACTGTGGTCTTTGGAAAGAAAGCTCAAAATTTTGGAGCTAATGAAAAACAATTATTTTGTGTATGTGCTCAGTTGGAAATCCCTCTTTTGTAAATTTGTTGCTTGTGCTCAGCACTTATTATGGATGTATGAAAATCAACTGGCTTACTGATTGATGATCTCGTGCATTCTTTTTGCTCTATACTATGTTTGTTGATTTACTGATTTGAATACTGCAGCGTATTTCTTGGAGGCTTATCGCCCTGTTCGCAAGGGTGATCTTTTCCTTGTGAGAGGAGGAATGAGGAGTGTGGAGTTCAAAGTTATTGAGACGGATCCAGCAGAGTACTGTGTGGTTGCTCCGGACACCGAGATTTTCTGTGAGGGAGAGCCTGTGAGACGAGAAGATGAGAATCGATTGGATGAAGTCGGTTATGATGATGTTGGTGGGGTCAGGAAGCAAATGGCTCAAATTCGTGAGTTGGTGGAGCTTCCATTGAGGCATCCACAGTTATTCAAATCGATTGGTGTGAAGCCACCGAAGGGTATCCTGCTGTACGGGCCTCCTGGTTCTGGTAAAACTCTTATTGCCCGTGCTGTTGCGAATGAAACTGGCGCATTCTTCTTCTGTATCAATGGACCGGAGATCATGTCAAAATTGGCTGGTGAGAGTGAAAGCAACCTGAGGAAAGCTTTTGAGGAGGCAGAGAAGAATGCACCATCTATTATTTTCATTGACGAGATTGATTCAATTGCTCCCAAGCGAGAGAAAACAAATGGTGAAGTTGAGAGGAGGATTGTCTCCCAGCTGTTGACATTGATGGATGGACTGAAATCCCGTGCACACGTTATTGTCATGGGAGCTACTAACCGTCCCAATAGCATTGACCCAGCCCTTAGAAGGTTTGGAAGATTTGATAGGGAGATTGATATTGGTGTCCCGGATGAGGTTGGCCGTCTGGAGGTGCTCCGCATTCATACTAAGAATATGAAACTAGCTGAAGATGTAAGTTGCTTGGATTTCAAATATAACTGCTCTTCTTTTATTTGGATTGCAGTATTCGTTGATTCTTAAAAGCTCTTGTAATGTACAGGTTGATCTAGAAAGGATTTCAAAGGACACACATGGATATGTTGGTGCTGACTTGGCTGCTCTCTGCACTGAAGCTGCTCTTCAGTGCATTAGGGAGAAGATGGATGTAATTGACTTGGAAGATGAATCTATAGATGCTGAAATACTAAACTCCATGGCAGTTTCCAATGAGCACTTCGCAACTGCACTTGGAACAAGCAACCCGTCTGCATTGCGTGAAACTGTGAGTGTTGAAATGTTTTTGACCACTTTACTTGTTAACTGTGTACCCTCTTGTTTTGATTGACCTCTGATAAATAATTACCGGAACAGGTTGTCGAGGTTCCTAATTGTAGTTGGGAGGATATTGGAGGCCTGGAGAATGTTAAGCGGGAACTTCAAGAGGTATTTGTCATCAACTATATCCTGTCAATGTTGTGAATGTGGAATGGGAAAAATACTTGGTTTCTCTTGCTCTTTTTGTGGCTAAAGTTTTTTTTCCATAATGTCTTTGGCAGACTGTTCAATATCCAGTGGAGCACCCTGAGAAATTCGAGAAGTTTGGGATGTCACCCTCAAAGGGGGTGCTCTTCTATGGCCCTCCTGGCTGTGGCAAAACCTTGCTGGCTAAAGCAATTGCCAATGAGTGCCAGGCAAACTTCATCAGTGTGAAGGGTCCTGAATTGCTTACAATGTGGTTTGGTGAGAGTGAGGCCAATGTTAGAGAGATTTTTGACAAGGCTCGCGGTTCTGCTCCTTGTGTGCTCTTCTTTGACGAACTTGACTCCATTGCTACCCAGGTTTGACTCATACAAACGCTGCAAGCTTTTTACCCGTCCCAGCTTTTAAACTGCACATTTTAGATGGCCATTTTAATTGCCTCTGTTTTGTGCAGAGGGGGAGCAGCGTTGGAGATGCTGGAGGTGCTGCTGATAGGGTCTTGAATCAGCTTCTGACAGAGATGGATGGCATGTCTGCAAAAAAAACCGTTTTTATAATTGGTGCAACGAACAGACCAGACATCATTGACCCTGCACTCTTGCGTCCCGGACGTCTTGATCAATTGATATATATACCCTTGCCTGATGAGGAGTCACGTCTTCAAATTTTCAAGGCCTGCTTGAGGAAATCTCCAGTCTCCAAAGATGTCGACCTCAGAGCTCTAGCCAAGTATACTCAAGGCTTCAGTGGTGCTGACATCACTGAAATTTGCCAGCGTGCTTGCAAGTATGCCATCAGGGAGAACATTGAGAAGGTAAAAACTTTCTTCCATGTCCACCCATTATTTTACCTTGCCAAGTAGCACATATAAACCAAATGGCTGCCTTTCCATGCATCTTTTCCAGGACATTGAGAGGGAAAGGAGAAGGAGAGATAATCCTGAAGCAATGGAAGAAGATGAGGTTGAGGATGAGGTTGCTGAAATCAAGGCGGCACACTTTGAGGAGTCGATGAAGTATGCTCGCAGGAGTGTGAGCGATGCAGACATCCGGAAGTACCAAGCTTTTGCACAGACATTGCAGCAGTCCAGAGGGTTTGGATCCGAGTTCAGATTCTCTGAAACCAGCGGTGGAGCTGCTGCTGCTGCGGCGTCTGATCCATTTGCAACTGCTGCTGCTGCCGATGAAGATGATCTCTACAGTTGATAAGTTTTATTATCTCGAAATCTGTGATATGTGAGTTCCATTAATCCAGGATCTACATGGAACCATTCTGTTTATTTTTCATGTTGTAGCATAAACTTCCCCCGGGGATATCTTTTGATTTTGCGTAGAGCTTTCTCAGGTTGTTGATAATTCAGAATATGGGTATCGGGGATGATGATGCTTTAAAACTTGAGAGCAAGCTTCAGGTATTGGTTTCTATATAGGAGGAGGATTCAATAGTGTTTGAGAGGCATCTAAGGATCGATTTGATGGCTTGTCTCACAAATAATCACAAAATCTAAGTTTTTTTTAATAGGCAATCACAAATTCTAAGTAGTGTCAGAGCATACTGGAAAAGTATAATAAACTATATAAACACAGTGATTAACAAAGGAAGTGATGCACAACGTGTGCATCTGAACCAAAAGCATGAATTGGTATAAGAAATGAAAAGAAAACGACTGACAGCTCACAAAGAGTCAATACTCATCTCAGAATCAACACACAATTCCTTAGATTTGACTGGCTACAGTTGTGATCCTCACGTGTGGATCCACGCGTAAAGGGTCCAGTTCAGCAGCAGCAGTTACAGAGTTCCGCCATTTCTTACTTTCGACGAACAGTGAAAGGTTTGATGGTGAAGAACGAGAAAAAGACAGACTCACTCACTCACTTCTCCATTCTCATGAGAGTGTTTCTTCTTCGTCTTCTTCTTCTTTCCTTGAACCTTTGTCAGGACTGCACGTGTTTGGCAGTGCCCCTCCCCCACCGCCAACCCTTAGCCCTGTAGCTGATGTACGTGCATGTAAAACACCTTTGAATGCAATCTGACAAAGTTTTATTAATGAGGAGAAGAACTATTAAATACGAAAAGCTCAGCCACAAGAATCGGCTGAGTAACAAACTAATCTCCTACAAATCTGCAACTATCTAACCAAACGAATCAAAGGATCAGCACTTGGTTGTTTGGTCTGTTGATCGCAACGGACACTGACCAACCAGACACAACAAATAAAAAATAAGGACTTAAACAAAACAAACCAAACGACACAGCACAGTCTAGCTTTAAGACCGGATAAGCCAAACGACGTAGTATCACTAATTCACAGTCCTGCTCCAATCCTTCTCCGCACGGGATTCGGATTCCTTCCTCTTCTAGCTTTCAAACCGAGTCCAACATTATCCTCCCCTGAACTAAAGCCCCTCTGCAACTGGCTTTAGTTCATCATTCATATCCTTCGTGCTTCCAGACACATCACACACACCAAGCTCTTCCCTCAACCTGCAAAATGCCTCCAAAGACAGACCCTTTATCATTATATCAGCCACTTGTTCCTTGGTGCCACAATACCTAAGCTCCACAACTTCATCTTTGACTAGTTCCTTTAAGAAGTGGAATCTGACATCGATGTGTTTACTTCTTCCATGGAGAACAGGGTTCTTGGACAGCTTTATAGTAGAGCTGTTATCACACATGATGACAGTTCCTTTCTCCACACTTGTCTTCCATCCAATGTCAGCAAGAATTCGTCTCAGCCATACTCCTTGAGCAGCACAATATGCAGCAGCCACAAACTCAGCTTCAGTGGTAGACAAAGTAACAACAGGCTGCTTTTTGGAAGCCCAGGATACTGCCCCTCCTGCAAGAAAGTAAATGTACCCACTGGTGCTTTTCCTATCATCAGAGTCTCCTGCATAATCACTGTCTGTAAAACCCATCAGACAGTCTTCTCCACTTCCTTGTTTGTACCAGATGCCATAGCCTTGAGTTCCTTTCAAATACCTTAAAACCCTTTTAGCTGCCAGTAAATGTTGCTTCGTGGGAGCCTCCATGTACCTGCTCAAAGAACACACAGCAAACATCAGATCTGGTCTGGTTGCTGTGATGTACAACAAACTGCCAATGAGTTGTTTATACTCAGTGGCATTTACCAAACAGCCATCCCCTGCTTTAGTTAGCCTTGTTCCAGAAGCAATGGGATTATGCACAAAATTACACTCAGCCTGATTGAATCTCTTCAAGATCTCCTTTGCATACTTCTGCTGGCAAATGAAAATGCCAGCTTCTCTCTACATCACTTCTACTCCCAAGAAATACTTCATCTTCCCCAGGTCAGTCATTTCAAATTCAGCCTCCATTGACCTTCTGAAATCCTCTACCATTTCAGTGCTTGTTCCAGTATACAACACATCATCTACATAAATGCTGACAAGCAGTGATCCTTTTGCAGTTGTCTTGATGAACAGTGTGGCTTCATGCTGACTTTTCTCAAAACCAGATGCTAGAAAATGAGCTTCAATGCGACTGTACCAGGCCCTGGGTGCTTGTTTTAAGCCATACAGTGCCTTCTTGAGTTTGTAGACCTTAGATTCCTCCCCAGCAACCACAAACCCTTGTGGTTGCTCAACATACACATCTTCAGTGAGCTCCCCGTTTAGAAATGCACTCTTAACATCTAACTGCCAGACTGTAAGTCCATGATGTGCAGCAAATGCTAAAAGACATCTAATGGTATCCCACCTAGCCACAGGTGCAAAAACCTCATTGTAATCCACTCCAAATCTTTGAGCATACCCTTTGACCACTAACCTTGCTTTGTGTTTATCCAAAGAACCTGTTTCAGTAAGCTTAGTTTTATATATCCATTTCAAACCAATGGGAATAACACCTTTTGGGAGTTCTGTCAGTTCCCAGGTCTGGTTTTTCTCAATGCTGTGCATCTCTAGCTTCATTGCTTCATTCCAGATGTCATCCTTGACTGCATCCTCAAAGGTTTGAGGATCTTCTGCTGTGGCAGCCATTGCTAGCCACTCTGATTGTACTTCTTCCACACTGTTACAGTCATAGATGGCCAGATGACTTGGAGGTTTTCTGGATTTGGGACCTAGATCAGTGCTCCTAGGTAGTCCCAGCACATCTGTAGAAGTATTTCCATCCTCCTCTTCATTGGTATTTGTCCCAGCTGGTGTAGCAGGACTTTCAGGACTCGGTGGTTCTTCTGTTGTTTCTTCTGTAAGAACTGGGGTGTCCAAAATTTGAGGACCTTCTTCCCCATCTGAATCAACAAAAGGATCTTCACTCCCTTCCCAAATCAGACTTGCCTGAGTTGATGGATTGACAGATTTCCACTTCCAACCTTTGCTTTCATCGAATACCACATCCCTGCTTATCACAACCTTCCTGGTTTCTGGATCATAGAGCCTGTAAGCCTTGGATTCTTTGGAGATCCCCAGAAACTGGCATTGAGTACTCTTGTTGTCCAACTTCTTCCTTAGCTTATCAGGCACATGTGCATATGCCACACAGCCAAAAACTCTGAAGTAAGATACTGAGGGAGCTGCACCAGACCATAGCTCATGGGGAGTCTTTCCTTGGTTTGCCACTGTAGGACTTCTATTCAGGACATGAGTGGTCCAGTTCACTGCTTCTGGCCAAAAACCTGTAGGTACTTCAATATCTTTTAACATGCATCTCACCATGTTCATGACTGTTCTATTTTTTCTTTCAGCCACTCCATTCTGCTGAGGTGTGAGAGCAGCAGTGAGCTGCCTTTTGATTCCAATTTCAACGCATAATGATTGAAACTCACTGAGCAGAAATTCACCACCCCTGTCTGTCCTAAGACACTTAATAGATAGACCAGTTTCTTTCTCTACATTAACCTTGAATCTTTTGAACCATTCAAGTGCCTCAGATTTAGCAGCAAGATGAAAAACCCACAGCTTCCTACTGTAATCATCAATGAGGGTGAATATGTACCTCTTACCCCCATTTGAGGTTGGGGTGATAGGACCACATAGGTCTGCATGAACCAGCTGCAATTTTTGAGTTGCCCTCCATTGACTGTGCTTTGGGAAGGCATGTCTGGTTTGCTTGCCAACTTGACAAGTAGCACAGATTCCAACAGCTCCTTTTAAGTCTGGTAAGCCTGAAACCAGGCCTTTCTTCTTTACTTGCAGCAACCCTTCTGGACTCAGGTGACCAAATCTCCTGTGCCAGAGACTTAGAGACGATTCCTTGGTGTTATCAGCTTGTATCCAGTGAGCTTCAACTCTGTTAGACTCATCTTTGAGCACAAACATTCTGTTTGCTCTCATACTGGTTTCTAGCAAGAAACCCTTATTTTCTTGAAAAATTTTGCATACATTTCTTTTGACCAGAAACTCCAGTCCCTTCTCTTGTAATTGTCCCATGCTGAGCAAGTTTGTTGTTAATCCTGGGACATAGAACACATCACTAATCTGTAGTGAAACTCCTCCCAGTTGCAGTCTCACCTTCCCTTTGCCAGCAACCTCCAGTTTGCTATCATTTCCCAGCCTCACTTTTCCTGTGACCTTAGTATCCAGATCACCAAACCACCTCTTATCTCCACTCATGTGATTACTGCAACCAGAGTCTAGGAACCACCAGTTTTCCATGCCTTCCATCTTAGAGTCATCCAGAAAGGCCATTAACAGTACATCATCAGGCAGTTCAGTAGATGGATTTGAATTACTACTGTGACCAGAATAATAAGCCTGCTGACTAGTATACCATTCAGGACACTCACTTCGATAATGGCCCATCTTATGGCACTTAAAACATTCAATATGTTCTTTATTCCAGCCTCTTCCTCCCCTACCTCTGCCCCTGGGAGAGAAGCTGCCTCTTCCTGCTCCTCTACCTCCTCTTCCTCCAACTTCATAGGTCATTTTCAGGACCTGATCATCCTCAACCAGAGACTTCTTATGAAATTTCTGTTCATGCACAAGTAGGGAACTCTGCAGAGCATCCACAGAGAGAGTTTCTATGTCTTTGGACTCTTCAATGGAACACACAACATAATTAAACTTCTCTGTCAATGTTCTTAAGATTTTCTCAACTATCTTAACATCGGGCATATCTTCACCACAATTCCTCATATCATTTGCCACCACCATTACTCTACTGAAGTAAGCTGTAATGGTCTCACCTTCTTTCATCTCAAGAACTTCAAAGGTTCTTCTCAAACCCTGCAACTGAGCCTTCTGAACACGAGCATTGCCCTGGTACTTAGTCTTCATAGCATCCCACAGCTGCTTTGCAGTGGCCTTATTCGTGATGGTCTTCAAAATTGACTTATCAATGGAACTGAACAGGTAATTTTTGGCTTTAAGATCCTTGAGCCTGCGATCATCAAGGCTTTTGGATTCACCAGCAGTCAGTTGAGTTCCAGGAGGTGGTTCCTGAATGCCATCACTCACCACTTCCCAATACTCCTTAGATCGTAGTAGATTTTCCATCAAAAGACTCCAGTGATCATAATCGCCATCGAACTTTGGCAAACCAACCTGTGCAAAACCAGCATTATCACTCATATTTGCTATGACAGATCCTCTCACCCTGAAACAATTTCCTCACAATAATACCCTCGTGTTTCCCAAACCCAGATCTTGCAGAACACTCAGATTTCACTCTTGAACAAACACTCAGAAAGCTTGAAAGCCTTTCAACACTCAATGGTTACAGCTTGCAAAAGTGCTCTGATACCAAATGTAAAACACCTTTGAATGCAATCTGACAAAGTTTTATTGATGAGGAGAAGAACTATTAAATACGAAAAGCTCAGCCACAAGAATCGGCTGAGTAACAAACTAATCTCCTACAAATCTGCAACTATCTAACCAAACGAATCAAAGGATCAGCACTTGGTTGTTTGGTCTGTTGATCGCAACGGACACTGACCAACCAGACACAACAAATAAAAAATAAGGACTTAAACAAAACAAACCAAACGACACAGCACAGTCTAGCTTTAAGACCGGATAAGCCAAACGACGTAGTATCACTAATTCACAGTCCTGCTCCAATCCTTCTCCGCACGGGATTCGGATTCCTTCCTCTTCTAGCTTTCAAACCGAGTCCAACAGTGCATTTCATTAGTGTTCACAAAGTCATGAAAAGGGTAAGTAGGTACGTACGATATATAACGTGAAACCTGCAGAACTGGTCGGTTGCATGCACAGTAGCTAGGAACTTTCGTGATTTGATGAACATTTGGACGTGGTGGACTGGTGGTGGTAAATTCATGAGATACGACGGAGAAGGATGAAATTAGGTGTGAAATGAGTGCGCGTGTGTGTTTTCTCAGTGATACGTACTGAACTGTTCAAAGAGGAGCCCAATATAGACACAGCCATATACATACAAATTCATACACTAGAAACAGTAGAGACTAGAGAGAGAGAGAGAGAGAGAGAGAGAGAGAGAGAGGCCATTACAGTAGCTGCCTGTGATCCACGATCAGAGTTCTGAAGACTATTGCAACTATTGCACGTACATGAACACTTACACACATATGAAACAAATAGAAAGGTGGAAACACCTTATAAAAGGCCCCCATTTCAACGCTTTTACGTACGATTTTGAACAATTTTGTGAACAAAACGATTTTAAGTGGAAATTGTATCGTTGTAGCGGCATAAATACGTAAAAATGTATGTTTTTACGACTTAAAGTTCAATTTTGACTGAATAGATTAAGATGAAACTTCCGCACCTCTTTGCCTTCCTGCTCTTTCCATCCATTTCTCGGTTGTCTTTCCCTTTTTTGAGTTTCCTTTCCTCCTCGTCCGGTGGCCGGGTTGAGCTTTTTTAATTTCCTCCGATCTGGTGAATCAAATCCTCAGCGATGTTAGATTCCGTTCTAAGATCTGATGGAGGCCGGATCCGACCCTGATCTGGCTTGTCTTCTCCTTTTCTCTCCCTAGTCTACCTCCATGTCTCACCTTGCAGCTCTAGGTGCGTCGGAAAAAGATAATTATTTAATTTTCTGATGCAGTACTAGCTAGCTAGTGAGCACCCCACAGGACGTACACTGATTACGTTTGTCTTACAAGCCGAAATTACACAATAATAGCGAGAAGGGTACATCCAAAAAAAGAGGTGGTGCAAATACCGAACAAAATGGGATGATGATGATAATGATGAATGTACTAATGTAGAAATAACGAAGGTTAATTAAGGGGAAAATTAAGGAGAAGCTAGCTAGGTGCAGGAATAAAAATATAAGTGGATCAAAAAGGACAAAGGTATAGAGCGAGTTAATTAATTAGCTTAGCGGTCACGGTCTTTCCAGCAAAGAAGCAACGCAATACAGCGGCGAAGGATGTAGAATTTGGCCCGCTGCTTCTTCACCAGATGGCTGCATTTCTCCCCCAAGGATCGATCTGCTTCTTCACCTTCTACTTGTAGTTTCCCTTGCTGCCTGCTCTTCAAACTTCCAATAGTAATATTCTCGTGATCTTCCCTGAATCCATCCGCCATGATCAAAGACTGTGCCTAGCTTACACAGTAATGATCATATGATCAATCAAGGGAATTGCAGCAATCAAGGGAATTGCAGCAATCAAGCTGTGTGGTTATGTTATGTAGTGAAAGATGTAGTGTACATATATAGCTAAAAGGGAAGCATAAAGGTGAAGCAGGTAGTGGCAGGGACTGGTAAGCTTTAGCGATGGTGTACTATTTATAGCCCAGATAAAAGGCTCTGATGAGGAGGGAGAGGGAGAGGGGCTGGGCTTTTCTTATTTATTAAATATTTATCAGGTTAATTGACTATTTATTAGCCAGAAAAAAATTTGGATTCTTTTTTATTAGTCAAAATCTATCGAAAGAATTAGCCAAACGTTAACTTCTCGTTAGCAATTTTGTTAGTAAATATTGACTTGACAAACATGATTTTTTTTTTTTTTTGATAACGAGGAACACCCTCCACGGTCACCACATTTTGTGGTGCCGTAGTCGGGCTAAACCGCGGGACCTCCGCCGGCGGTCCGGGTGATAGCGGGATGCCTCCGGGAACACCATGGTGGCGGTGAGGATCGAACCTGGGACCTTATGGTCACCAGTCCTCCTCCCTTACCACCAGGCTATGTGACCTTTGACTTGACAAACATGATAGTGACTTGGAAGAGATGTATGGAGGTCAACATTCCAAAATTTTAGTATTTTAACTAAGAACAGAGTTGCAAAATTATTAACGATGACGTGAAAAAATTACTCATATTTTGATGCATTATGAAAGATTTGGTTAATTAATAGTATTTTAATAGGTTTAGATAATATAAAAGAATCTTAAAAAGGTTTGGATAAAAAATAGACATTACCCTATTTATTAATTCTTTCCATGAATTTAACATTTTCAGCAACTACATACTAAGTTTTTTTTCCCTTCCACATTAGGTTTGTAAAAGTATGGATGTATTGATTTTCAACATGCTATCAGAATATTTGATTGAGAAATTTGTGTTGCTATCTTTTCGAACACCAATATTATTCGTTAATTCAAGACACACGTATGGTGGCGGTCTATCACAAATTTAAAGTTTAAAAGTTAATTTTTGTTTGAAAATGTGGAAAAATAAAATTCATACTTGAATCTCTCTCCACCAAAGATTGTAAAATTATATCAGAGTTTATATCGAAAAGGTCAATGATAAGGTATTTTGTACTAAAATCGTGGTTTAATTAGTTCAAACGTTTCATACTGCTAAAACGACATACCTTTTAAGATTCGATGTCCGGTATTTTCGATCAGGCCGTAAGGTAGAATACTTTCTATACCACTGCTCTCAACTCAACTTAAAAATTAGGGTAAATACAATTTAATATCCAAACCTTTTATTTTAAACAATATAATAGCCAAACCTTTTCGAAAACAATCTAATATCCAAATCGTCAACTTTTTGTCTGCGATTTTGGGTGTTGGCGCGGTAGGGGTGCGTGATAAATATCTAGGACTCCCTACTCTAATTGCGCGGTCTAAAATGGAGACTTTTCGGTATTTGGAGGAAAAGCTGTTGGCTAGGCTTCAGGGGTGGAAGCAACGGACTTTGTCTTGGGCGGCCAAGGAGACTCTTATTAAGTCTATTGCTTTGGCGTTACCATTGCATGTGATGTCCTGCTTTAAATTACCCCTCTCGTTGTGTCGCCTTTTGGATAAACATGTGGCTCGCTTTTGGTGGGGTGATAATGAAGGTCATGCTCGAGTACGGTGGATGGCCTGGAGGGATATGTGTAGGAGCAAGCATGAGGGAGGGATGGGGTTTCGCCTGTTTGAGCATTTCAACCAGGCTCTGCTTGCCAAAATAGGATGGCGTATAATTATGGAACCTGATTCCCTGCTGGCCCAAGTCTATAAGGGCAAGTATTTTCCTTCTGGGCATTTTCTCACTGCCAAAGCGCGGTCTCGCCCATCCTGGGGGTGGCAGAGCGTCCTGTTTGGGAGAAATTTGCTTGAGATGGGTCTCAGGTGGCAGATTGGGAATGGGCGGTCGGCGTCTCTACTTCGATCCCCTTGGATACCTCAAATGCAGCTTGATCCTCCACGGTATAACCCTGTAGTGCTTCCGACGGGGGGGGGGACCCTACTGTGGCCGAGGTTATTTGCCAAGGGGAGGGACGTTGGTGTGAGTCCAAACTCCGTCAATGGTTTGACACCCCTACTTGCCGTATCATAAAAACTATTCCTTTGCCGCGCCAGAATCTGGAGGATCGGTTGATCTGGCATTTTACTCGGGATGGGGTGTTTTCTTTTAAGTCTGCTTACCACCTGGCTGTCTCTCTCGATATAAGGAGAGGTCGGTGGAGGTCGTCTGTGAGATGGATGGACAAGGCCAGTTGGATCCGGTTGTGGGATGCTAACCTCCCCCCTAAGCTTAAAGTGTTTGTTTGGCAGATCCTGAATCGGATTCTCCCTACTACGGAGGCCCTCGTTGAGAGAAATATCCCTGTTCATCCTCGGTGTCCGGTTTGTTGGGGTGGCCCGGAAACGATGGAGCATTTATTCCTCGATTGTCCAGTTGCGCGTGCGCTTTGGGGGTATTCAGGGTTGGAGTATTTAGGGGAGGGTTTGCCTAGGCATACTTTTCCTCTGTTCCTGAAGAAGTTGTTGGCCTTGGTCTCGGAGCCCCAACTGCTTATGCGAGTGGTCTCCGTCCTTTGGCGTATCTGGCGATCTCGGAATTGGGTGGTCTTTGAAGGCAAGCAGTATGCGTTCCCAGCTTTAATGCGTCAGCTTTCCCAGCAGGTGGAGGAATGGGTGGGCTTGCCAAGGGAGGCTCCCCCCCAACCTCCCCTCCCCGACATTTGTCAGTCTGGACAGTTTAATCCCGCTGTTGGGATTGTGTGCCAATGGGATGGGGCTACTAGGAAGGGGTCTCACTCGGCAGGGGGTTGGGTTCTCTTCGATATGACAGGGAATGTTCTCCTGGCTAGTGGGGTCCAGTTCCCGGGGATTGATGAGCCAGCTGTGGTGGAACTGCTTGTGTTCCGGGAGGCAGTGCACTGGTGTTTAGCCCATGGATTTTCAGAGGTAAGGTTTGAAGGGGATGCTCAGGTGATCATTGATAAAATCAACAAGGCAGAGATTCGGGATAACCAGATGGGCGCGGTCCTTGAAGAAGTTGTACATGTTGTTAGCGCTATCCTCGGTTTTAATGTTCGATTCATAGGTCGACGTAGTAATAGGGCATCCCATTTGGTGGCTAGAAAAGCCCTCGCTTTGTACCCGACTATGAGTCGCTTGTTTGACTTCCGAGCCTGGTTAGTGTCCAGGATGTAACTATGTTTTTCAATCAATATATGATTATCTTTTGTCAAAAAAAAAAAAAACTTTTTGTCTGTTTGACCGTTAGTTGACACTTCAAAAAAGTTCGAAGTACGACACTTCATCAATATCCATCGATTTCTTCTCTGAAAAACAACCAACATATCGTAGTTCCAAACCCGAGAAGTCTATGACTCCACCATGATGGTATAGAATATCTAAACATTCAGTCATCTGCAATGCCAAAACAAGAAAACAAAGTTGTATTGTGACAATTTCCCCTAAACAAAGCTTTTTTGAAGTGTCAACTAACGGTCAAACGAACGGAAAGTTGACGATTTGGATATTAGATTGTTTTTGAAAAGATTTGGCTATTATATTTTTTGAAATGAAAGTTTTTGATATTAAATTGTATTTACCCTAAAAATTAACCTCCGAATATGAAAGAGAAGTTGTGCGCCATAGGGGTCATACCCATTACTATTAGGTTATGGAACCGTAGCACGATTGGGAACCCCCACATTGTCAGGGTTGTGGGTGCAGCTAGCTAGCATTTCCCAGTTTCAACACTTTTCCTTATGTATAATATGGACCCAGAGATGTCTCTATTTTTTCACCTCAGCAAAACTAGCTATAATTATTTCGGCCAGAAACAACAATAAGTTGGCCCTGCAGCTAGCCTAGCAATCTGCTTGCTGCCCACATTGTTTGACTACAGTAGTCCACCAATTCAACAGAACAGAACAGCTGATCCCGTTCCCAACCTCCTCCACTCACTTTTAATTTCTACACCCATTAATTTATGATGACTTACCCTTTGAATTATTGATGAAAAATTGATCGATCTCCTGTTCAATCTTACGAGCTAGGCAGCAGCTACCTAGCTAATGCATAGATTATACATATACTTGTAACTAGTCCATAAGATAATGTATTTTCTTTAAGTAAGCCCTTCAACTATAATGGATATTGCGTCTTTGGTCCTTCCGAGTCCGACCATAGACGTTTTTCAAACTACCATGTTCATAATAGCTTCATTCAAAATTGTCTAAAAAAGGTGATGATGGACTCCTTTTGTGGAATTTTCTTTTTTCTTTTATCTATTATGAAAAATAGTTGAGCTTACTAATTGCGATGGTAAGAGAATTGGATTGATGTATGTACAAATGCATCAGTCGATTGAAGTGATGGCGCTCAATAGTACCAACATTGCATGGCAATCTTCCATATTATGGGAACACCATGTTAATTATGATCTTAAAGATATCATAAGATTTCTCAGAGTTCACGGTTGGAATCTCAGTTCTGAGGCTGTGAACTTTGGCAAGCCGGTGCCAAGAGGAACAGAAGATCTCTAGGTCCTATTCACGGTCCTTTAGTTCGAGACTGCAAGTTAGAGATCACGACTTCGAAAAAAGATCACGCCCGTGAACTCCAGGCCATGATCTCCAAGTTTGAACATGTTAGAATGACACAACATAGAGAGGACGTGACACTTTCAAAGTTCACGGTGGTGAACTCTCCCAAAAGAGGCCGTGAACTTGTTGAAGATAGCAATGACCGTCACCACATCTGACCGATTCTCCACCATCCGAAGATGAGTCTTACTGCATGCGTTGCCGCCATCCCACCATCTTGTTGGTCTCCTGCCATCTGATAACGAAGCTTACTGTGGCGCCGCCCGCTGCCATAACCCGACACGAAGCTTACTGCGAGAGGAAAGACCACGATGGCACACTGCTTGTTTCAGACGGAATTTCGCGTGATCAATGCACCCTCTAACCGCCTTCTCTCTCTCTCTCTCTTCCTCGAAATCAGCTCCATGTAGCATTCAGTAACTCCTACGAGCATCCTTTTCAAGTCAGCTGTTGCTGGACAATCAACCCTAGGTACCATGGATGAACAACTAGATGGTCACCATACACCAAAACATGGATGGTATCCATGTTGTTGCATGGCACCACCACTTTAAGTTTGGACGGTGTCCATGATGTTGGATACTACCATCCATAATGGGGTTTGGATGGTATCCATGATATTGAACACTACCATTCATTAGTGGATTTGGATGGTTAGCAATGGGGTTTGGATGGCATCCACGTTTTTAAATTAACATAATTTTTTTTTGTTTGCAGAGTTTAGAATTGAAATTGAGTTGAGAGGTAAATATGTCAATTTATTGTGTTTTAGGGCGATAAAATTTAGGATGACAAATAGCGATTTAGAAGCTCTAGGCGGTTAAAAAAAATCCTAAGCACGTTAATAAGAAGCCTAAAATTCATTCATGACATCGTTCATAAGATTAAGACCCCTCTAAATTATAACAAAACCGTTGATAATGACATTATAACAAGTTAATCAGACCCTTCCAAATCATTAACAATTAAATGACAAAACGTAGGTAAACAAAACACTAAGCATGCAACAAAAAACCCGAAATCCTATAATCGTACAAACTTTAGCGTTAGCAACTTAATTACCTAGTAACAACGGGAAGAACGTTGATCGGCGGAACGAAACGTGAAGAAGGTCGATCACCCTTTTCAATCCTTGGACGCCGTCCGTCCGGAAGAAGATCGATTGGCGGAACAAACGACAAGCAGCTAAATACCCCTAACTATCTATTAACAAATAACTCCTCATTAACCACCTAATTTACTAACAGGCAATAGGATTACCGTAAGCATATGCTTTACCTTTTCGGCTCAAAGCACAGGAACTCAACTACTCAAAGCCGATAGATCCCTCGGATACATGAAGCTACTATTATCTTTTAGCTACAACAATCTCCATGGAAGTTGACACATTCAGCTTGTCGCTGATTTGCAGAGCATTAGTCTGTACATGGGATCGCCACGATCCAAAACGTGTTGTTCCCAATCCGATCTAACTCCAAAAGGGTTCTCGTGAAGCCAAGACCCTTGTTGCCTCCACTTGGCTGTTCCATCACGTACAATGCTGAGCTTACCCTTGCTGTGTCTAAGGAACATGTCTGTCATTCTCAACACAACTGTCTCTATGTCCGATTGAAGGAACACCTTGGACGACCAAAACAAAAAGACAGACACTGATGAATCATAGCAATGGCAACAGCAGATATGCGAGTTAAGAGATAGATAAATCCAATGTTTTACCTTTCCATTATATGCAAGGAGTTCAACCACTGCTTCAACTAATGTTCTATTCACCATTCTCCATCTCTGCTCTGGATTGTTGAAGTCAGGGTTTGGACACTGCAGAGTGATTAGCAAATTTGAAGTTCATGAGGAAGTTCGTGAAAACTTGTACATAGGTTGATGTTTAGGACACGGATGATTTTACTGGCTGGCAGAAAGGTAGTTTTTCTATTACCTGTATTGACACTAGCACTACTTCTCCTGGATAGCTTGATACAATGGAGCGAAATGTCGAAGTTGCATTTGTGGCAATGAAGAACCTAGCACAACAAATAGAAGAAACTTGTGTATCTGAGGGAACAAAACTCTAATGCAATTATTTGCAAGTGAAAAATGAAAATCATGAACATGACTCTTGGATCAACATGTTGTAGATGTAAATGTAGAAAGAGTTAAGCTACCCGTTCGGAATCCCAGATTGATGAACACCATCCAGGCAACGCCTAACAAGCTGACAAGGGTATGACAACCAAGAACGAAGAAGAGTCTTAAGCCAAAAAAGAACAAGAGCAACCTTGAATCAAAAATGGGAAAATAATTTAAGAACAAACCTTTTTATTAACCTCTAAGCCAAGGAAGTTTTGGTCCTTCCTTCTTGAAGCCATCCCGAAAAGGAACAGTCCGTTTCCTACCATTAGATCAAATCTCAGTACAAACCATAATAGCATACTTCTCTTTGCCATTTTCATTTCCATTTAAAGTTAAGTGAAATGCTGCTCGTCACAGAGGTCTTCAGACGGCGAAGACTAAAGTTATCACATGTATATTCCACAACAATCTCAAGTTAATGCTACACTACTACTCTTTGAGATTTATTTCCTCATAAGAAAATAGCATTTTCCTAATACAGCTAAGACAGTTTTGCATCTGGAAGTAATATGAACTAATACATGATGAAGGTACAAGAGGATGGCGTACCACTTCCAATGTCAACTACCAAAGGTTGAGCAGGATTACGATAAGCCATTCTCCAATCAATCTTGAATGGGAATGCCTGAAAAAAGCATCAATGAGCCGTGACCAAAAACAGAAAGGGCAAAATCCTCTCAAATGTTTACCCCTTCAAGCAATAATTAATGATACAGTGGTCAGAAAAATGGACAAGAAAAGGAAAAGGATAGACTTTCAGTTTCATGACATGCATTTTTCCATTATCAGTCATTCAGATGTGAAAGCACAAAGAAAATTGCCACACAGAAAAAATACCAACTACTGCTCTTTTACCAATCTCATATCATATGTTATCCTATTTCCAATTCAATACTCATAGTGTGGAATAACATAGAAAATTAGGAGACATACTCTGTCTAAGGCCAACAACCCAGGAAGCTTCCTTCCTTTTAAAACCTCCCATACAACTGAAGCATTCTCAATGACAGAACAACTGGCTGAAGACCTTGATTCCTTTATCATAGCGCTGCATGCTTTATTCCCCACAACTGCTATCTCACAATTCCGTTGTGCCAACCTATCTACTATTTGAGCCACTTGAGAAGCTCCATCTGTACAAATACTTGAATGTGAAGACTTGAATTTCACTGGTCCAATCCATATTACTTTCTGAAAACATAAGAGTCAGGGAAAGGTAAGTTATGAGCTTGAAGAGACAGAAAGGAGGACTGATAAAATCAAGCAAAACCATATGCTTACATGACAAGAATAAACAAACTCAGTAGGCTATGGTTTCCCCATCACACAATGATATTATCTACTTATATGCAGACTTCCGGTGTTTACCTTGCAACTTGAAAGCAAAGAGTCCATTTCATCAAGAGACCTAGGCCCAAGATCAACAGGTACCCAACCTAACATGAAAAAGTATTAGGTTTAAGGACATTAATGCACAGCTTTGAAGATTAAATATTTTAGTGGGCAATTACACCAACTGCACATGGGTAGTTCATTAAAAAAGCACCACGCTTTTATTTCTCAAGATATCATTATCGATGTTGAGACCTGTATTCAATAGCATGAAACAGATAGAGAAATTTGTTGCCAACCACAGCCATACGATTAGCCAGCTCTATTTACCAGCCCCTTCATCAGATGTAGTGCTGCCAATACGCAACAACATACCACAAATCTGAAGAAACAAAAATGCACGGCCGGCTTGCTTATCACCTATACAAGAAACTAGAGTAATAGAAATGCTTATACATAGTTGGTCTCCGTAATAAATAGTTTCTATTTTGAGGCCTAGTTCATCTAGGACGACTAACAGTTTGCACAAGCCCAAGCAACAGTTAAAAGAAGAAAGTTCCTAACAGATGAAGAAAACAGAAGAATGTAAAGCAAGTTATATTCCAGTGTTGAACATTCACCTTCTCCCAGTCGATGAGCAGGAATTACTTCAATTTGATATCCTGGACTATCATTTATGCACCAAAAATCTTTCGGCGTTATAATTGGAATCTTTCTATATCGAGCAGATTGGATAACTTCTACAGCTGCATCAGATGACCCGGGTTCAAGAAGAGTTGAAGGGATTGAATATTCCAAAGCATGCATAATTTGCAGCGACATCATTCCAACAAAGACTACTCCATCACATTCAGAAACCAAACGTTTCAAGGCAGCTGCTTTTCCGTGGATATTAGCCCCTCCAATCTGAACCACTAAAGAGAAAGCAAGTTAAGCGAACAATGTAATACAAAACAAGTAAACTTGCAAGAACGCCCTATACAATCAAGCTTGATATGTCTAAGTTGGTTACAAAATGAAAAGTCATACAATTGCAATATATGGTCTTTTGTCGGTGTTCAAAACCCGCTTTAACTCCCGCAGGCTTTCTTCAAATTGAAAACCTGCCACACAAGCTGGTGAAAAACGAGAAATGCCGACTGTTGAAGCCAGGACTCTATGAGACAAGGAAAAGGAGTCGTTAACAAAGACATCAACTTCCGAAGAGAGTAGTTCTGAAAATTCTGGACAGTTGGCAACCTCCTTTCTAAATCCAGATAAATTCTCTAGAAGGAATATATCAGCTTCCTCAAGGAGTTCCCTCTTGAACGGCACGCCACAGGAAAGGCATTTCAAACTAACAACTTTTCGCCTGAGAAGTGATGATAATATATCTGGGAAATCAAGAAAAAAAAATCCAGAAACACATAAAACTTTATGAATCCTGATTTCAGACAACTGTAAAGAAGATATTACTGCTGCTAGTTCTCTAAAGGTACCTGAAACAGACTGTGAGTCAAGAAGCTTGGAACTCACTTCCCTCTTCCAGTCACTCACAAGAATCACTTTCTCCGCAGTTGCAAGCAAATACTGAACTGTGAAGAGCGCATTAGAGACAGCCAGCGAGTTCTTGTCAAGTTTCTCCCCAAGTAAAATGGAGCTGTCAAACCTGACCATGACAACTTTACCAGACAGCTCTTCCTTTGGGAAATTTTTCAGAGTTTGTATGTGGGGGAAGTTCTCCGATTTCCCTTCACATAAGTATCCAGTCTAAGGGGCGAAAACACGCACGAATTAGAATCACACCTAAAACCACAATGAGACGCTGATTGAAGCCTACTAAGCCACTGAAATCACCTCATATTCAATCGAGCTTTTCTTCACACGATCAACAGCAACCAAATCACCTGGAACTCAGAATTCACAGCACATTTTAGCTAGAGCAATTAATCAAACATCATAAGTGTAAGTTTCAATGACCACTAACCTCGCAAATAGAGTCGAGCTCCACGCGCAGCAAAAAGCCGTCTCCTCGTGAGCTCCAATCTCTTTCCAAAACAAGAACGACACTTAGGATGCGCCCACCTCAATATGGGAGATGGGCATCCATAAAATACTGAACCGTTTAGAAATGCAGGTGCTTGTACTGGATTCACCGTTCGGTCCATCCATCCACTTCCAAAACAAATCTCTACAACCTGGAATCAGGAGCAACGTTAGTTGGAGAAGTTGAGATTCGAGCCCGGAAGAAAGGTCTGAGAAAGCCGCGAGAAGCTGTCCTGTCCTGCCTTTGAGCTCTCTTTCATTCTCTACTGCACCCAGCGGCCGTTTATCTTCAAAGGTTCCACAATACTAGCAGCAGGCTTCATCAGTAATAAAAGGAACAAACAATTAGGAACAAGCTAGCATTCATCATCACCATCATTGTCATTCTCATCACTACCATCAACTCTACCGCCATAGCTATAATCACTAGTCATGATAATGAAAATTACATTAGGAACAAACAATGAACTGCTAAAAACCAACTTGCTGAAGGAAACATGAAAGGAACTTATGGGGTCGTTTGCTTCATGGATTTAAAAATGAGGGTTTTGTAATTTAAAAACCCAAGGATTTATCAAGGATTTGAGGCATCATGGATTTGTAACAATCCTTTGTTTGTTGTGATGTTTTTATCATGGATTTAAAGGTGTGGGATTTACTACTTGAAGTCAAAAATTACATTACGGCCCTTTTCTATATGTTTGACATGTTTATGATATGTACACAAAACAAGGACAAAACTTCAAAATTACTTTACTATCATTTTCTATATGTTTGACATGTTTATGATATGTACACAAAACAAAGACAATACATACTAATAAGTATAATGTTGCCACATGGACAATAATAATAAACGAGAAAATTCCGTTTTAACGTAACATAATCAATTACCAATTCTTTGCCCTCCTTTTCAAAAGTAACATATAACAACATATATTAGAATCGGGAGAACAATGAATTACACGTTCCATGAAAAGGTCAAAGAAAACTAGAACACAAGAAATGATATAAAAAATCTAACTCATGTTTGCACATTAATTGAACGTTTATATTATTCATTTATTGTTAATTATAATGTATAATAGTTAAATTTGAGGGCAACCTTGGAATATTAAAAGTGCATGAGGGTATATGGATAAAATCTCATCAAGGATTTATGTCATATTCCAAATCCCACATCAATATGTGGGATTTATAAGTCCGTGGGGTCCACGGATTTGGACCCTTAAAATCCGTGGGCCCCACGGATTTGGTCTCCAAAAAAGATGCACGCAAACAACGGATTGTACCTAAATCCTTGATAGTTGGTTTTTTGGTACCAAATCCATGTACCAAATCCTTGAAGCAAACGACCCCTATATTTAAATTCAACCAAAACCAACTTGCTAACATAAAAACAGATTAGCAACACAAAGGCAATTTCATTCGTTCACTCTCGCATTCGTTCAAGAAAAGACAGATTGCAAACACAAAGGCAGCATCAAAGATCAATCAATTTCCGACTTCTTTTTACGTTACTCTAGTGTTCATTTCATTGCAGAACCAATCAATGAAGGGCTGCAAAAACATTCAGATTGAAACCATTCAAAGCAAACACGGCAACGCCCATGATTTTTTCCAAAACCATTCGAAGCTAACTACGGAAGCGAACCTAGTCGGTGGATTGGCAATGGTGACTGGGGAGTGGATATTTGGAAACAGCGGCGTTTCTGGGGAAGAAGATGAGTACGAGCGACTGCGAAGGAGGAGGGGAGGAGCCGGGGATGGGTACCAGCTCAATTACTAAATTATCCTTTACCTTATAATAATAACTAGTGTTATTAAGATCAGAACGAGCCGGCCGGTCGGACCGCTAAAGCCGTCACCCGACTGCAAAACAGCTTGGGCCAGTCATTTAGCCGCTACGGTTTTATGGAGCGGCTGGCAAGCGGCCGAGGTGGTTAACCACTCGAGCCGCTCGAACCGGTCGCTCGGTTTTTCCCTTCTGGTTGTTCTATTTAATAAAAAAATTGAAAAATAAAAGACAAAATCGTGGGGCTGGGAAAGAAACCCTAACTCTAATTCAGTTTTCGTCTTCGACTCTTCACGAACAGAGGGAGAAGAGCAGCGCCAGACCCTGCCGCCGTCAACACTTCTCATCTTAGGCTTCCTGTCGGCATCATCGCCATCCCCAGACAACGTAGCAGCTCCCACCTCGCCATCACCAATCTCCATCCCCGTCCCCTCTTCCAGTAGCAACTCCTCCGCTCTGTCGTCACTTCCTGTCCCGGCGCCATCCCCAATCCCTGTAGCCGCTCCCGGCTCTCCACTAGCATGTTTTGGAACTGTTAAAATTTAAGAGTGTAATTTACTAATTTAATCATGGTTTATCATGATTAAGAGGTGTCCACTATTTATATTGATGTTGATCCACCCAGTTATCACATGAAATATTTCTATCACTGGCTACCTTCTTAAATTGCTCAACTTGACGATCGAACTTCTCCAACCGTTTTTCTCCGGCTAACAAAATAAACAACCACACGGGTTAGATAAATTCATGACAAAATTACATGAAAATAAATAACAAAATTAAATGAAGAAGGCTTACCGACTCGAAATAGTTGCTTATACATAATTCTGCTTTTAGTCTTCCTTTGCAAATTGCTTGCATAGTGTCGCATGCACCACCTCCACTTCCAACCTCTTCCGATGTTATTCATGGCTTTATAGAGTCCTGCATGTCTATCTGAGATGACGCATACATCATTTCGATCAGTCAAACCCTGAACGTTCCTTATGAACCATGACCAAATCTAATCACATTCGCAAATTGCAATAGATGCAAGCTTCTCATTTTGCAAAGAGTGTACTTGTCTCTTTGCTACAACCCTATAAAACTCAACAAGGGTAACAATGAATTTATTTTCATGAAATCTGTATTTTGCTCTTGTATCGTGTACAATTTGACTTGAGAAAACTTTAAAAACCATAAGAATGCGTGAAACCTCACTCATAAATATAAAGACTAAAGAGTGAGCACAACATAAGTATTTGTTTAACTCTTGTCTAAATAGAGAAATGAAAAAGGGAATACTTTCTTTTTTCCCCCTTTTCATATCCTTAAAACAGAGCCTGGAAATTTGCTCTTGTATACATGGGGTACTTGCTCATACTTGCTGCTACACTAGAGGGTTTTGCTCTCAATATTGTCAGGGTAGGTGTCATAGATGATATTTTCTTTTTCTTTGTTGTTTCTCTCATCTTACTAACATGTTTGGTTTCCAAAGGATAATCTATATAAAAAAGAAACTAATGTCATGTCAAACCAATTGTTGTGCTATACAATTTGAACTAGTATCATGCCAAGGCTTTTAGTTTCGGCTTTTTTCTCAAACGCTATAGAATTCAGGATGTTCAGAATAAATTCTATGATTTCTATTCCTACAAATGATACATGAGTTTTTTTTTTTCTTACCAAAAAGAAAAGAAATTGCACTGGACAAATTGGCCTTTAACATATTTCTCAAACACATTAAATGGATACATCATGCATATTAAGGTTATTCCCATCAGATTCGTTCTACAGAAGGAGCCGCCTCTCTTCTTAACGTCCTCTGGGACTGCTGTTCCATAATAGATAAGAGAGTTCTCCAAGATGCCTGAAATTATCTAAAACAGAAGATTCTCGATCACTGCTAGTCAGAGAAATAATACAAGGTTATGCCTACTCGTGTACTAGTAACGCTCACAACCAGCTATCTCCCGTAATCACTTTCCATGTTCATTTTGATGGCCAAAAAATAAAAATTAGATAAAAAGACTCGATGCTCTGACTGCAAGATTAGCGACGCCTAAGTGTTTCTAAAAACTAAATCCTTGGCAACTCATAATTTCCACAAGAAATCCATGAAAATAACACTAACTACCTACATAAGACAAGCCATATATGCAATTCATACCATGATATAATGCTCATGTACAATTGGTTCCTTTAACACATCACAGACGGATTCTAAACCAAAAAGAAAAGGAAAGGCCTTCTTTTTTAACTGCAATGACTCGTATTTTCACTCTCATCACAACCAGACAGAAATGTCTTTAACCTCAGCTAAAAAGTCTTCTAACCTCAATAGTCTGTATGACACACTTCATTGGAAATATGGCTAACTCACCACTAGGAACTCACCATACAATCAAACCTGCAAAACTTGTAAACCATATTAATAATCATAGAGTGTATGCTAATCAAGCATGTTGTCCTAATTTATTCCCCCAAGTCCAAGCTCCAACCGCAGAGGCTCTACTTTTACACTAGCACTCTTCCTGGCTATTCTCCAAGTTCCCCCAACCCAAGTACTCCCAACGGAAGAACAAGCAACTCTGGGTGCAAACAAGCTATACATAAAGGACATGTGATTAATCGGTAGCTTTGTTCACTAATGACAGGTTATTAGTGAATTTGTCATTTCCCTCTTCCTTGCTTAGATAAATATACATGCCCACTGAAAACGCAAATGGAATCCTGGAAAGTGGGGAAACGAAATCAAATGAACCATATCGAAGTCAAACTGTTTGAATTTTTGGAACTAGAAACTAAATTAGGTCTTTATAAGTTCGCCACAAAATCCAAGGGAAACAGTTACTTTATTGAATCACGATTCACGGCTCATTGACCGAATCTGGAGATGAAACGGATGGAGAATTGACATATAATGCCATCTATACTGTTTTTTTTTATACTTACCTGGTTCGGAGCCATAAAAGCTAGATAAAAGTAAGTGATACCAAATGTATTAATGTAATTCAAGCATAAAAAAAAAGTCACAACTCACCAATCCATTACGAAAAAATCGCACATTCAAACAACTTAAAAATCAAAACTAAAAAAAGATCACATTCAGACACTTTCGATAACCTAATACCTCTTACATATTTTTGTCGCTTTTCAACTTCAACATCCCAACATTATTAAAAAAAAAAAAACAACAATTGAAAGTGAGCACATTTACTCGCCTCCTTCTTATTTTATGAAATTCATAGTTCTCATAATAACTCTTATCATAAGGCAAATCAACTTCCCCAACTCCAGTCACATTAAATATGGCACCACGACTTCCCCTTCCTGCTTTCCTCCATCCAAAAACTTGCTAACAATTTCATAACTTGGCTTCAGCACCACCTCCTCCCACGAGTCAGCCTCCGTGCCACCATTGTTCTCCATAGCCACCACCACCTTCGTGGCATCGATCCGGTGTATATCCCATCCATTTACATCCCTCAGTCGTTGGATCTTACCCAAATGCCTATCCACCAGCTTGCAAGTTCTCTCCTTCATCGATTTCACGGCGACATCGAATAGCTCCTTTCTTGCCACCTCGTCGTGATGATCCATCTCGTCCACGCCCTCGATTGCTTCAAAGTACGTCTGAAACTCTTCAAACCCTATCGTCCTCCAGACCCCTCTGGTCACGTCTTTGGGACCCTCGTTGATGAAGGCGTCCCTGACCTCGTCGAGGAGGCCAGAGCGGATCATCCGATCCACTCTGGCCTCGACGACACGATACAGAACGGGGACATCGATGTCGATCCACAGGAAGCAAGGATCGATTCGAGACCTGAATTCGGAGTAGTGGCCCTCCACGAGGGCTTCTATGTAGGAGTTGGAGCAACCAACAATGATGGGGAGACGCCCTTTGGAGGTGATGTGGTCAATGGCGTCGTGGGCCCGGGTGACGAAGTCTTGGATTGTGAAGTCGGCATCGGAGCCGACGACTTCGAGGATGTGATGAGGTATGCCCTTGGTCTCCGCCTTGGTGACTCGGTTGCTCGCGATGTCGAGGCCCTTTTGGGCGTGGATTTTGTCGGAGTTGATGATCTCGCCGGAGAAACGGATGGCTAAATCGATGGACAATTTGGTCTTTCCGGTGCCGGTTGATCCCAGTATCATCACAACCTTATGCTTCTTGCTGCAATTGCTGTTCACATCCGGTTTCAAAAAAGAATTAGACTATTAAGGTGTCGATTTATTTGCATGCCATATGTGGTTACTTTTGCCATTTTAATAATTTTAGCATGACTGTACTTCCATTTCACCTACATGCAATTCACTTTTAATTACACCTTATTTCTTATCACAATTATAAAAAGCATGAATACTCAAATACTAGAAATAATAAACACAAAAATAAAAAGAATATGACATGACTTGCACATCATAATTATATTGTCATAGGGTTATAGGTGTAATATGCCCCTCTACTATGATGCTTTATCAAACATGCCCCTCTACTATTTTTTACATCAAACATGCCCCTATACTTTGTAAAAATGATCAAACATGCCCTTTAGTTAAAATTTTCATCCAAAAACCGTTAACCAAGGCCGAACTTTAGTTTGGGCGACACAAATGACTAAAATATCCCTAATAAATTCACTTTATAATTTTTTTTTGTTCTTTTGTATAATCAAATCATTCAAATAATTTCACTTTGAAAAGACCCAGGGAAATAAAAATGGGGACGAAACTGACATTTTTCCACCCATTTGCCGATGTTGGGTCATCTAAATTTTGGTTCAACCACAATTGATGATTTTTCAATGGAAATTTTAACAGAAGGGCATGTTTGATAATTTTTTTCAAAGTACAGGAGCATATTTGATGTAAAAAATAGTAGAAGGGCATATTTGATAAAATATCATAATAAAGGGGCATATTATACCTATAACCCTTATATTGTATGTAAAATTTAAAGATACAATTGTCATCTATACCTATGAAAATGCATAATACCATTGCATGGAGGTGTCATGTCAAGATGCGTTCTACTTGAATTCCCCAATATGAATGCCTTATTGTACATTTCTTCAATCAAAATTGTTTGGAACGTTTATATACTTTTTTACCACTCTGTATTCAAACCTTGAGACACACAACCATATAAAAAATATGAATCGTACAATCAAAAATGAAAAACAAAATTAAACTTTATTGTTTCAATAAAGAAATATTTCGATTTTTTGCTTTGAATTCCCATTCTTTGTTTCCTGTGATGGGGTGGTTTCAATTTTTGTGTTTTGCACTTTGAAGAGTTGTAAAAGTTTGCATCTATATCTTCTTGATAATGGAATCTCTCATTTGACAAAAAAAAAAAATTATGTTCAACACAAAACAAGATAAAAAAAACATAAATTTGATTCCAGCATAATGAAAACAAATGTGTATGCACAATTGATACTAACAATTGAATACTCGAATATCAATCTTATTCTATTTTATCACTTCCAAAATATAGTTCTTTCGTAAAGATAATCTACACTATACGTTTTCGCGGCTAATAATTATAAAAGTTTGAAAGAAATGGCTTAAATTGTATTTACTCGTATGAATAAATGGACTATAGTGTATGATAGTCAAAGGCAAACAATATATAAATAAATATTCTATAATACTTACTCAACAGAGAGAGCGGGAACTGGAGCCATGAAGGTACTGGTAGCCTCGTAACAAATAGTTTAATTAAACTAGTTTTGGTTTTGCTCTCCCGTAACAACTGGTTGTGTGACCTGCAATACAACAACAGTTTCTTTTATAGCATGAGGATTGCCCAATGACTAATTAATTTATAACGGATTTTTTTTAATTGAGTAGGGTGCATGTATTCCGAGTGTCAATATTAATGGACTTTCCTTTTTTTTCCATAAAAGCTCACAAATTTTCCTTCTTTATTTGAAATTTGAAATGTTGATAAACGTTTCTTATTTACTTTTTATTAAAAAAATTGCCTTTTTCCATTTTCCTAAAGGATAACAATCATTTCATCTGTATCTTCACAGTTATAGAATGTAATAAATGTTAACAATTCCACACTTTTCTTATAAGCACACCAAAACAAATGGAAAAGATGATTTAGAATCATAAAGTTATTTTCTCGATGAGATTTTACTTTTATTTATGTATCGTGTAGGCACGTTTATTGTGTACCTTATATTTGTGAATGCGTATATAATATTATAATGGTTTCTAAATACTTTTTTATTAGAAAATCGTTTGTTCAAATTTACAAACTTTTCGTTAATTGTTTGTAACAAACAATAATAATATAAATTGCTCAAAACTTTTTTCTTTTATGAAATCTCTGATTTATCATACACACAATATAATATGTATCAAACCTGATTTAAAATTGAGATTTCGAATGTGAAAAGAATATGAGATTTCAATCTCTATACGATTTAAAATTGTTTTGAAATGCATGCTAGTATATATATATATATCACCTTATTATGTTTTGCTTAACAATGAGCTGAATAAGCTTAACTACTTGTGAGAAATTGGATGATATATTTTTATGGGTTCTCACATAGATGAGTTATATATGCCACAACCTAAAAATATATTTTTAATGACCAAATATTAAGTTTTAATCATCAATAAGTGTAATATAACATTATGGAATAGAATTATAACAAATCCTAGTACATTTATCCAAAAAGTTACTCATATTTATATGAACGTCACTAACGAATCTATGGAGGTATGTCAGACAAATTCGAGATAAGTAGATCATGAATGTTGTTTTCACGAAGTTACATATTTTCTTGTTTAGTATGATACCGTTGAAGATTGAAACCGTTGAGAAACAAATTGGGGAACTAAATTGAAAATTATAAGAAAATTGTATGTCACACACCCAAAAAAAAGTAAGTGGATTGAAAATAAACTAATCTTTTATATATGAAAAATGTTATTGAAATGCATAGTTTTAATTACCTGGCCAAGTCCACAAGAGATTGTACGACAAACACAATTATTCATCAGTTTTGACTAGTTAAAAAAAAAAACAGTTAATTGGGGCGTTGGATGTGTGGATAAAAGGGTGCATGGGCGGAGTCCACGATGATGGTGGCCATCAGAATTTACTTTTGTTGTTTAGTGCGACTAATTGCCGTTACAAACACATGTCACATGGATAATGTTTTCTAGCCATTTTGCTGTATTTTTATGTATTTTTTGCATGTAGATTTGTCATCTATCATAATTTTGGGTAAATATACATGCATGACATCCACTTGTCTATACTACCAAATTAAAAAAGTTTTAGGCAGGAATTTTATTGACATTGTTGGGGTACCACAACAAGGGCCAAAAAGAAGGCCCAAGAAAGAGCTCATTCAATTGAAGGTAGCCAAGGCAATGGGCCAGAAGAGAAAGCCCACAAAGCCCACTTCCTACCAGGCAACATAGACTAGGAGACAAAGCGCTAAGGGCCAAAGAAGTCCAGGCTGGCAAGTGGTACCCCCCCACCAGTAGGCGCCTGCCATCGTCAGAAGCCTAACAAGGTGGTTGAGGCTTCTGACAACAGTGTAGGTACAAAGCATTTAATGCGATGGTGACGTCGAGGAAATCCACCTCGAGCTCAGTGAGTATAAATAGGGGCAGTTGGTAGCATTTACACAGGTTGGACTCTCTCACTAAAACTCTTGCTCTATGGCACTTCTCTCTCTAAGATACTGACTTGATCGTCAGAGGGCTAACGGGCCCAGGCGCCCCCCTCTGTGCTCGTGTGTGTAGGCAGACGCCGGACGGAAAGAACGAGGGCGTGTTGGCAGGGCGTCGAGGCTCAAACAATTGGCGCGCCTGATAGGGGAATATAACCAAGAATCATAAGTGTGGAGGCGCCCATGAGTGGAGAGGGAGAAGAAATTACGGAAGACCAGTCTGAGCGGATGAGAGGGCTGACGCCCGAGATGGACGAAGGTGAGGAAAGTGATGGTATGTTTCGAGGGTCGGAAGGCACCTCGGTCACAAAAAAGGAGTTGTTTAGGATCATTGAGGATCAGGATGAGGCGATCGAGGCGCTTCGACGAGAGGTTGATGCCTTGAAAAGAGGAGAAGGGATGACGTCCAGCCCAACCTCGAAGAAAAGGGAAAGGGTGGCGGAGACAGAAAGCGAGTCCGGGCATTTGAGGCGCCCAAGCCAATGACGCAAGCATGAACGCAGTGGTCCGGACGCCAATGGATGGAACGGGGAAATCCTGGGGCGCCTGTCACGCCACTGCTCCGTAAGGCAGCCCCTAGCGCGGAATATACTGATGGAGCCCGCGGGAACCAACATTCCCCCACTCCCAACTTATGACGGGACAGCGGACTCGGATGATCACTTGAATGGATAGTTCACCAAGATGCAACTTTACAACAACTCATACGCTACCCTGTGCAAAGTGTTCCCGTCGACTTTCGCGGGCGTGGTCCTTGACTGGTACCACAAAATCGAAGAGGGGCGCATTGACTGCTTTGAGCAGTTTGCGGCGATGTTTTTGGCAAAATTTGCCAGCAGGAAGCGCCGCTCTCTGACCATAGGCGCCCTCTTCAAGGTCAAGCAGAAGGAAGGGGAGGCGCTGAGAGAGTTTTATGAAAGGTGGCTCTCCGTAGCCTTGGCAGTAAAAGACGCCCAGCCGTCATTGTTGGGAGTGTGCTTGAACGAATGTACCACCGACGAGGAGCTATGCAGGGCGCTCGCCAAGAGGGACGTGGTATCCACGGAGGACTTGGATCACTGAGTGCAGAAAGTTATCATGCTCGAAGAAACTTTGGCGGCCAGGAGGGCAGATAGGGCAAGACGAGGGGAGAGCAAGTTGAGATGATAAGGAGGCCACATCCCCGAATGGACCAGGATATGCGCCCGTGAACCATCCTCAGCCGAGAAGAGTGGACACTGGACGCCGACGCCCAGGGGGCGGGAGCCCCAATCGAGCATATCATATAGCTTCGACAATCGGACCAACACCTCACACCACACAAGCCTCTACACATCCACTGCCAAATAAGCGAAGGAAATAAAGTCCATCATGCCCCATTCCTAATCAATTTCTTGGATTGTAAAACCTGAATAATGGAGAAACCACCAGGGAAGATCAATGCAACATGGTTATCCTTCGTTACACGGCTCATATAAACTAAATTTCTACAAAATTCAGGCACATGAAGAACACGTCCAAGAGTTAAGCCTAATTGAAGTGACACAGAGCCAATATGTTTAACATGTATACTCGCTCCAATCGGAAGAAATAACTCAAACCAAATCTCCAATCGAGGAAAGAGCCAAGCATACAAGGTTACTCTACAATTAGAGTGATGGGCTAGTTGATGATGTTGGGTTCCTCTAGCTACTTGATTCCATGAACAAACTAAGAACTAAGAAGGAAAATGGTTTCGAGATTGAACACTCAAACATATTAATTTCTTATTGAGAAAACTTGATGGAATCTAATCTACCCTTATATGAGTGTAAAATCCAAAACAGATAAGGAAAACTAAAGGAAGCTTATGAGCAAATGTGCAAAATATATATATATATTTTTTTTCTAGTTAACACAACTCGTGGATGAAGCAAGAGGAAATTGGCTTCCATAGGACCCAAGAAAAAAGGGATGGAAGTGGGCCTCTTATGAATTGTTGGCCGAATTGGATGCCTTAAGGTGGAAGACTGTGTTGGTCTCCTTAGAACTCATCTTGGTCCTCTTGGCTTGGACAAAATCCACTCCTTGTCGCGCAAACATATTGCACTTGCCAAAAAGCTAGCAATTGCGCATTCAACGTCTTAACTTGATTTCGAGTAACCATGGATAGCGCTTGAGCAATCTTTGTGTCGATATCCTCATCACAATCAATCTTAAATACGATATATTGATAGAACAGTGGGTGAGAGGGAAAACTTGATAGTTTCACGTAGTAGAAGAGCGTTGCCCATTAAAATTCATAGAGGGCCATCTTTGAGAACTTTCAAACATAGAATTGCAAATTTACTACACTTCCATTTAGATTTAGTCACAGTTACAGAAGCAGAAGCAGAGTTACCTTTGTCATAGACGGGCAACAAAACCAAGTCTGGCTGCCCTTCCCACATCCCCAAAGCCAGCTCCCTCAGACCATTTAACTACAGCTCTTTCTCCCATGATTGATTCCCAATCCATACACACAAGAGGTCCATGAAACTAACAGTAAGACAACTGCATCAACTGCTGCAATTGCAGTCTTTTGATAATTTGATGGCAGCCACCTGCTTCTGCCCACCAAGTCCTAAAAAGGTTAGACAATCACAGCAGCAGTAGTAGCACATATATCGAGTTGGAGGCGGGCCCGGGGAGCACAATGCAAGATCAACTGGAACACTACTTATCTTTTCCAAATCCAAAGTACATACTTGCACAAAGGGAACTCAAGTAAGTTACATAAACAACTTGAAGCTTGATTGATAATCTCCTTGTTAACTGTTGTCGTAAAACAAACATCAGACTGCTAAAAGGAACGCTTTCCACTACAGAAGAACAGCTAGACTAAGACAAAGGGGGGAAAAACACAGAATCAATCTATAACTCACACTGCTATGATATGATGGCATCGTTACAATATTAAACGAGAATGAATTAAGCAAAATCTTCATGGTAAAGAATCAGTCGGGAGTCTAAACCCCAAATGTGAAAACCAGCAATAAGCACCCGCATACCTCCCAACCAAAATTTTGTTAATGAGCCAGGAGGACACCCCTACAGTGCACAGAATCAAGTAAAGATACAGCACAACGACAGCAACCATAACCCCGACAGGATAGCTCATAACAAAGCATACATAGCCACAGCTTGCTGCTATGCATTAAGCAAATTTCTCTAGAAGCTAAATCCAGTCAACAAATCAATTAGTTTACAACTGAGTGAGTTCTTGCGGGTTCTCCATAGACTGTCTGTATACGTACTCTGCCCTCCTCTTCTTGTCATCCCTCTCGTCCTCCCGCCCTAATGACTGCTCAGATCTCTGTTCGCCCTTCTTTGTAAGATGCACATCTAAGGGTTCAACTAACATTCTCTCCCTAGTTTTTAACCTAAATTTCACAGTATTCCTCTTCTCTGGAAGCAACGTCCTCTCCCCACCACCTTCACCATCCTCATTAACCCCTATTTCTTTAGCTGCCTCGATAGCTGGGGCAAATGGCACCAGCACAGAAGCATGCTTCTCTATATTTGGCACCGAAACCGAAGAAGTACCCTTCTCCCCTGGCTTCAAAGGTTGCCTGAGGAAAGGGTTTCCATCACCTGTACCCGTTTCCTTGACATATTCATTAGCCACCACACCAGATGATGAAGCACCTGCTGAGCCATTACTGACAAGCCTCTGCTGCAGACTCAACAAAGTCCGTTCTGCCTTCCTCCGTTGCCGAGCTTGCTCAATCTTCTCTGCTCGAGGATCTGAGACCCTCTCATCCCACATTGGTGTATGCACATATGTGTGCTGATCTGGCAATGCTGGCAACCAAGCTGGAATATGATTCCCGGGAGGAGTTTCGTTCATTTTCTCAAAACTAGGAATCAACTTGCCATCTCTAACAATGGGGAACTGTGGCACTGATTGTGCAAACGGGATCTCTTCTTCAGATTCCACAAAATCAACTATATCTCTAATAGTGCCAGAACTAACAAGACAACTGCTGGAATTATAAGCACCTGGAAATCCTTGAGAGGTGCCAATATCTTCAAAACCTCGAACAACATCGAAGATGCTACATTGTGTTCTGCCACATAGAGTGGCATTGGCACTTGCCGTCTTGCCCAGGTCACGGAGGTACCGGAGGGTGACGTCAGTTAGAGCATCCAAGGCCGACTCTTTCAACCCCTCAAAGCCAACATTTTCACAAACCTGAGCTACAGCCTTTCTCGCCACTGCATAGCCAAAATCGTCAGCTTTTGATCTTCCCGGTGTACTCTCTGCACCTCCATTGCTCATATTTGCACCTTCATATCAAAATTAGGGTTTCAAAATACCCCCAACCTGACGAGCTACACTCATCAAATCCATAACCCTAACCGAACTTGGATAAAAAATCTCGTCTGTCACGTCTTCCCAAAGCTTCGCAGGGAAGAGCACAGACGAAAAGAATGATTCTGAAGTTAAATCTCGTAGGCAAAAGAAACAGCAGAACACAGATCCAACCTCACCCTTTTCTCGGGAGAGAACAGAACCGTAAAGCCGTTGGAAAAGAATTTCAAGAGCAAATAAGGGTGCCCCGGAAAGAAACAAACGGAAGGGAAAGATTCCGACGAAGGAAAGAGCAAGAACGCCGTTCCAGGTAAAACCCTAGCCAGAAAGCGAAGCTCGGAGGGGTTTTCGCGAAACGGGGAACGCGCGGGACGGAAGAAAGTTGGGAATTTTGGAGGGAAATTGGTAAGGCCTCACTTTTCAAGCGGTTGGGATTGGATTTGGAAGCAAGAGAAGGGAAGGAGGATCGAGCGAGAAGGAAAAGAGAGAGAAAGAGGAGAGGGACGAAGAAAGGGCGTGATTCGACGCAGTCGATTGCCGGGCTGGCATGGCCGAGAGCGGCTCTGTTTTTTTTATAGACAGAAACTCTTGTCTTGGGAGAAGCGAATGACGACTTCATCCCTCACGCGCTCCAGAACGGTACACGCTCCCTCCCTCCGTCAGTCTCCAATTGGGCCTCAGGCTTTCTTAGATGGGCTTACAATGGGCTTCCCGGTAGACTAGACTGGGCCGATGAAATGCGACGGTTGGTCTTCTTTTCTCTTGCCGAGTGGATAAGGTTAGACGGACGGCAGACTGACTGGAGGGCGATTTTGATTTGCTTTTTGCTCTGGTTTCTTGTTCGGCTTGGCTGGCTGTTCGAAGAAGAAAGGAGGGAGAGGAAGGCGATAACAATGGAGAAGTACTTTGGAAATGCGTATCGGGGCGACCCCGGAGTGCCGCACGCGGACCCGGACAGGTTCTTCAACATATGGATTGGGTCGGCTGCTTTCTCTGCTCTCACCTGGGTCAATCCCTACATGTGGCATCTCACTAACCAGTTCAAGTACGCTTCTCTATCTCTCTCTTCGTTCGTCTACCATTTAATTGCAGTTTGAATGCACCAGAACGTTGAAATGAACAAACTTCTTAACTGGTTTTGTATACAATTCCCTTGTTGATTTGCTGGTTTTAGTGTTCTTGGATCGGATATTTGGGCGACTTGTCTTTGTGGTTGCTCAGCTTGCACCAGTAGCCAAATCAGGGTCTTTGAATCCCGCTGTCTTCTCTTGTAGCTTCCCCCTAGAATGTCATTGACTGCTTGGGCGTGCTTTAGTAGATATTGGTGCTGTATGTGGCAGGACGTCTGCTTCTCTTGTAGCTTCCCATTGCCTGCTTGGACGTGCTTGAGTAGATATTGATGCTGCATGTGGCAGGACGTCTGCTTCTGCTATGATAGATTGTTATGCTAAGATGTGCGAGATAGGGCTTTGTTTCAATCAATCTGTTAACTCAATGCGGGGCTGAATTTCTTTTGCCGGAAAGTCCATTTCTGAGAAGGATGAGCTTCCACAAAAGCTTTTTATTTTTCGCCATTTCATGTCTGTCAACTTTAGGTTTCTTCGTTACTTTATATCAGCTTTTGATTTGGTTAGGACCTATGTTGATTTCGAAATGGTCATGTTAAGTATTAGATGTTGAGGCATCGCTAGATGTTGGAAGGTTAGTGTGTGTGATCCACTAAGGGAGGGACTGAAATGTTGAAACGAGTTTCAGTTTTGATGCACACAACATGTAAATGATCAAAGTTCGCTGTTTTATTTTTATTTTTCTTTGCTTGCAATATGTGTCTTGCAATTTTTTCCTGCTTGTTGTTGGATTTGGTATTTGGGGAGACTTCCTGTTTTTATGTTCGTTCTTAGCTAGTAGTGAAATGATGCTTGAGATCCCTTTATGATCTCACTTGGTTTTGGAAATGTCTCTTCATCTTTCTAATCTTGATCTGTATGAGTATTTACAGTAGGTATTGATGCTATAAGGGTTAGGATATCTGCTTCTGCTATGTTAGGTTGCTCTCCTTTCAGTTTCTTGGAGTCCTAAGACCTATGACATACGGCTATTGTTTCACCAGTCAGTTTATTCAACCTTTTCTTTTCCCTCCGAGGTGGGTTTAGATAGGGAGCTCATGTCTATGCACTTGGATAATGCTTTCTCCAGTTTATTCAACCTTTTCTTTTCCCTCCGAGTTGGGTTTGGTTAGGGTGCTGATGTCTATGCACGGGGCTGATGTTGGTGGATGGTGATCCCAGCCATTAATATGTAACTGCCTGTGTTGAATGACGGAGATTACGCGGGGATGAAATCCAACAACATCATCCGACACTGAACACACCCCATTCAGCCCCGCAGAAAAATTAAACTGAGTCCACTTCCAAAGGGGATGAACTTCTATTGCAGCATAAGTGGCTGCCGTGTTCATGATTATGTGTTGTATACAATTGAAGTAGCAACAAGCCTTGTTTATCTCCCCATATGCATCGGTCAGTCACTTTGCATATTGCTTTTTCTGTCATGCAGTTGGCACGACAAGGCATTCTTATTTGAGCAGTATCACTGGAAGAAAGCTAGGGCCAAGAATCAGCCCTACAAATTTAAGGTACATCGTCAAACTGCTTCCAAGAACTTGTACAGTTTGCTGTATTATCTCCGTCCAACTTTGTAGTAGGATCATTGTTTCATGTGGAATAACACGTGTTTTTTTGTGCAGTGGAACGAGTACATGGACAAGGACCACCGAGATTCGTATTATTACAACTGGCCGTACTACTTCCCTTAGGCTCTGCCTCTCTTGTTTCGATCATTGTGGCGAATGGACAATTGGGGTTGTAGCTAGTAGATGCAGCCTTCGTTTTGCGATGCTTGTTATTGTGAATTTGAACACCTTGAATATAGTAGCTTCCTAGCTGGAGCTTTACTCTTTCGTCCATTGTTCATCGCTCATCATAAACTTGCTCTACTCCCTTCAATCCCGATCGTCAATTGCTTTATATTATCTACTAGATGAGCTTCATGTTTATGTGGGAAGATTCAGTACACAATTTCAATTTGTCTGTCTAATGTGTGTGGAACTTGATAATAAAACCAATGACGGCGGTTCAGGGATGACTGCTAAGTACTACCCGTGTTCTTTCCAGGAAGGCATAATGTGTTCGATGTTCGTTCGTAAATGAACTTGTTAATCTGGATAGTCCAGTAGTCACTTGTTCATATTGCTTCGAGCAATAGTTTCTCAAAGGTGAGCTCGTAAGTTTAGCTTGCACCTTGCGATCTAATACGAGAAAAGAAATGTGTGCCCGAGTGAGTTGGTGAAAACAGATGTAAGCTGTAGCTGTTGAGAGACTTTCTCAAGTTCAGGAACTGAGCAGCGGAGACGCGTGTAGTGAGTCACGCTACGTGAAATGAAAAGCTGTACGCGCCAAAAGTTGGATGACGGTCTTATCCTGAACCATAAATAGGCCGGTTTTCAGTTTCACGACTGGTTGTCCGGAGTTCAGGTCACGGAGGGAGTTTCCTGGTAAAGCAATGGCATTTCTCCATCTTTCTGCGTTTAGAGCTTCCTCGCGCGCAGCGATTCCGCTGCCCACTACTGCTTCTTCACGTCCGTCGTTGCCCGCCGTCCAAATCCGTGCTTTGAACAGATTCGACAACTGGGTCGATGATTTTAGGTCCAAGTCGTTGAGTTTGGTGCTTTCGGGAGCTCTCACTCTCGGCCTCTCTCTTTCAGGCCAGTTTTGCTTCATCCTCCTGCCTCAGCGGTTCCTCTTTCTTGTTGCGACGAAGGTTTAGAGAGAAAAAAGAAACTAGTGTTTTACTTCCTCTGGAGCCGAATTTTGCAGGGGTGGGTATTGCGGAAGCAAAAGTAGGAGTTAACAAGCCAGAATTGCTTCCCAAGGAGTTCACTACTGTCATAGATGTCGCTGGATTCCTTTCCGATGGCCAGGTACTTCTGCTGTATTTTCCTCATGCAATGCACTCGAACTGTTTGTTTGATTGCCCAACTGAGCTTGCATGCTTTTCTGTTTGAATTCAAGTTACCATAAAAAAAAAACATCTTTGAATTTAAGATGTGTTATCATCTGAAACTGAGGACGTTGAATATCATTTCCTGAACCTTTGTTTGCCGCCCATGCTTCGATTCTAGCTTTTCGCTACCTTCAATTGAGAGGAATGACATGTTCATTTGTTGTAATGACTAGCGTCACATTCATGTGAGTCCTGATTTGTTGAGCTGATAGCGTCCTATGCTGAAACGGGTTCCTAGCTTACACTGTCAGCCTCATTTCCTAATCTTCTTCCCTTACTCACTTACGGATTTGAAAGCCTTAAATTGTGAGGAAACAGACGTTTGTTTGCTGTTAGGGGTATTGATACATTCATGCCTCAGTTTAGGCACCAACCCTTGCGCAATATGTAGACTGATAAAAATTTGCTGAAGAATGGCCAGTTCTTGTATGGTTTTTAGGAGAGAAGACTCACTCAGGAGATTGCTGAGATTGAAAAGGAGACTGGATTCAAGTTGAGAGTTCTAGCTCAAAATTATCCAGACACTCCAGGTGTTGTCTTCTGCTCATTAAGTTCTTGTCAAAGTGCTTCGACAGTTTTCTTGCTTGGGCTTTCTGTTTCTTTCTTTTATGTGCTCGTTTCGCTCGCAGGGCTGGCGATCAGAGATTTCTGGCAAGTGGATGATAGGACTGTCGTGTTCGTTGCTGATCCAACGTTTGGTGTGATGACTCTTTGCAACTTTTTGCAATAACTGTATAACTTTATACGTGGACTTGAACAATGCTAACTCCATTTCCTTGACCAGGAAATATTCTCAATTTTAACGTTGGTGCTTCTGTTGATCTGGACATCCCACGGAGCTTCTGGAGCCGGCTGGCCGGGAAATATGGCAATATTTTTTACTGGAAAGAGAAGGTTAAGTTATAAGGAAGAACGAAAAAGGATGCTGATGATACCAAAACCTTTTTTGTGTTACAATTTCAATTTCTAGATGAGATTAACTGATCTGCATTCTATCGTACATGCAGGGCGAAGATGCATCTATTGAAGCTGCTGTGATGGCAATATCCAGTTGCTTGAGAGAGCCTGTAGGCGCAAACAACTGCTCTGAAGTCAAATAAGATGATACTCACTTGATAAAAACGGCAGGATAGTGTCAGGAGAAAGGGCGCAGGTTATTATAAATTTAGATCTTCCTTCGTCTCCTGATTTTGTGTGTTTGTAATATGGAGGATAATGCAATGATAACTGAAATTGCTGGTCCTGCTTCAGCTATATTCATTGTTGCTATTTATGGGCTCAAAACTATTAACGCTGTGGTACTGTGCAAACCAAAGCTGCTTGTGGCTGAGTCTCCTGTTTTTACTACTTCGAACATGATTGCCTGAACATTTGGCTGTAAATGAAGTTCTACAAGTCATCCAAGCATTATAACCAAATGGAAACTAGTTAGAATGGTTAGTATCTCTCAGCAACAAGAAACCAACCCAAATTGTCTGGGATAAACTGCTGTTCAGACAAGAAAGCTGGCAAATCTTCTCATACAATACAGTAATATATATATCTTTATTATTATTACTTATATCTTCTACCATTCTGTACTTGCTCTTCTCACTTTCCCTCCATGTAGAACCCTCTGAAGCTCCTCAGGATGACAAGGCACTGCAAGAACACCTTCCTGGCCGAAACCAAATTCATCTTCAGCCTGTTCCAGCAGTTCAAGAAACTCTGGATCATTCAAGTCATCCAACTCCACAACAAACCTAGTTGTTTTCCCACCTTTGGTTGCAGTCACGGCAAACTGCCCTTTCTTCACATCGTTGGGAGGCAATTTCCCAGCATCTTTGTCTTCTTCGTCGAGCTCAGGAATGCTTTTCAGCCTCTGCCCTCCTCTGGATCCCATCACCAAGAGACCCCTTTGCAGTTTTCTTGTGAAAAGCTTGAGCATCATCAAGCTTCGGAGGCTTTCATCCTTGTTAAACATGGCGGTTAAGATTCAATGTCTGTGAATCCAAAGGTGCGCGATCTTAATTTGGGTTTCTTTGCTTTCTCTGTATTTGCTGAGATGAGATTTGGGAGAGGGTGATGGGGAAGTATATACTGGAAGCCGGTCCTGAGGTTGGGTAACATGGATGAAACTTCTGAAGAACACATGGGACCATATTGATTTAGATGCAACATTGGTGACATTTAATGTCATAAATTGATAGCTCAATCCCACAGGCCATTTTCTGTGGGACTTGACACAGTGGGGCTCTCTGAAAGACACGTTTTACGGTGGACAGAGATTATGTTGCTTCAATTGTGTGGTTTTTTCATCATCCATGGGTTGGGTAGTGGTTTCTTGTTAGTTATCAACCAAGAATCCGACTTCCCTATCTGGTAAAAGTAAAGTATGTCATTCATCCATGCATTCGTTCATTCACCATGGCTTGAGAAGAGTAACCTGACTCAAAGCTGCATTTATTAACCCAGTTGAACTGAGGATTTAGCCTATAGGTGACTTGACTCTTTCTTTGGCTGCTAGGCGAACCTAATAATCATGGCAGGCCCTGCAGAAACTGCCATGAAGATATTTCCTCTGCTACTTGGTTCATTTGTTGCCTTGATATGTCAATTCGAAACAGAACAAGGCCGACTTTCTCTTTAATCGAGTAGTAGAAGCAGAACACGGTTTGCAAATTGCTCCTCTTGCCAGAAAAAAAACCAACCTTCATCTTCTCCATCCACTCGTTTCTTTCTTTCCATCGCATGGCCTGATGAGATACTTTTGCTATGATATTTTTCTGACCTTTCTTTTTCTTCCTTGTCGTTGAGAGTGTTGCAGGTTACAATGTATGCTGCACTTCGGTACGCATTCTGGTACTCGAGTACGGTGAAGCAATGAACTATTACAAAAGGAGATATGTACAAATTGGGACACGGTTGGAACCTTGTAAGGGGAAGCATATGGGTAAAGCGGATTGAAGCTGGTACATAACCATCGCGGGGGAGCGGATTAAACTTTTTTTTTACTATTGCTTAATAGTGTGTTATAAAATGATAATTATAAAATAGGACTTTACTACGCTGTCTAGTAAATTGGAGAAAACGGTCTATGTTTTACACTAAAAGGTCTATCACTTTTGAAAAAATTGGTCTGTTACTTTCACCAAGTGGTCTACCTATTCCATCAAGCGATTCCATCAAGCGATCCACCGCTTCCAACAATCGGTCGACCTGATGAATTGCTAACGACATCATCATATATAATTAGAGTAGTCCAATATTAATAGATATGTTTGTTGGTAAGAGAGTTAAAATTAGTACAAAAGTTTGCGTATAGATGAGAAGTTTTTTGGTGATTGTTCTCTCGTAGATTTTTTAAATGTTGTGCATATTTATTTCTTAGATTGGACTTATTCTATAAAGACTCATCTTTCTTTCAAATTCTAAGTTTGCTTGTTTTAATCCTAAGTTGTCCTGTGATAGATAAATATTGTTTCTATTATTGTTTTGAATATACTTAAAACCTAAAAGTATACTTGTTATACAATTGTGTCATATTCAACGTGCATAAATCTCATATCATCTTACTTTTATGGGTTTTTATTCCATAAGTGTAAAAAGAGGGTGTTATTTCTTTTTCTCTAGGCCTATAATATGGGTAGAGATTTGGTTGCACACGGGTGATAGGATGTTGTATTACTAAAAGACAATTTCCTATTGTAGGCCTTCTATAGTCCATTATTATCGCAATGTAAATAGAAGGTAACAGTGTCATCTGGTCGGCCGTTTGCCAGAAGCATTAGATCTTTCTCTCGAAGTAGTAGACCATTTGGCGAAAGCGGTCTGCCGCTTCCTACAAGTGAGTGTATGTTGAAAGTCAATGTGTTATTAGGTCGACCACTTGCCGAAAGGGTAAACCGTTTGCCTGAGACCATTTGATGTAAGCGGTAGACCATTTTCTTGAAAAGTGATCGACCTTTTTGTCGAAGAGGTAGACCATTTTGTTGAGAAGTGGTCAATCGCTTTGTGGAAGAGGTAGACTGTTTTCTCCAAGTCATGATAGGCATTCCCTAAAAAATAATATGTAACTTTTTTTTACAAATGTATGCAACACATTTCAGCCTTCATTCAATACAATAAGCGTTTGAAAATCTCTTGAAGATCATACAAAATCCAATGATGGAGTGTAGGATAGGAAATCAAAATAGCATGAAAACCAAATGATAACGAACAACCTCGATTAATGACTCATTCCTAACTACACAATTAAATCTCGAATAAAGCCCAAGTGCAAACTCTAGAAGGGTGTAGTATAGAGCAAGCATTTTAATTGTAAACCCAAGTAGTCCATGTACTCCTACTTCAGTCGCTTAAATTGTTATCTAGCTAACGGTTTGGGGCTAAAAGCTAAAGAACTACAATTGCAAATAAGCAAAGAAAGTAAATTGAGTTGGTTACTTGGTTTCAACACAAGAAGACTTCACCCGGATAATGCTCTCCCTAGCCTTGTATCAAGATTGACTGAATGGAATGCTAGTGTGTAAGTGTGGTCATATATCGTGAGGAGGTTGCAACTAGTGGAGAAACTCGACTCTCTTAGACGATTAGCATTGGAATACCGAATTAAGCTAGGAAACTAGCTCTCTTGACTAATCGACTAAAGGTTGCTAAGACTACTCCCTTAGAACCTAACCCGGATGGCAACATAACAATCAATCATGGTAGGTTCATGGCACTAAATCGATGTTTGAGGCTTGCCCTCAATTTTCCTAGGTGGGTGACCCAAGTGGTCAAGAAATCTAGCTCCTTAGAGCCTCAAAAAGGGGATTTCCTCCACCTAGGTCAATTTGACCTAATTATGATATATGAAGAACAATACTCAAGAATTCTGAAAATACCTCAATTATTGCATTATACTCAAACCCACCCACATAACATTCAATCCATACAACCTATCACATATCAAATGTTAGGGTTAACAATATCCAAGTGAGAAGGAGAACTACACCATAGCTAGGCTAGGGATCACAACAAAGAGGAGAGAAAGAACCATGGTGTGATGCTTGTCTTTCTTCCATGTTGCTGAAAACGCCCTTGAGAGATGGAAATCTTCACTCCTCTAGCTAAGAGCAAACCGTAAACCTCTTCTTCTTCCTTTGTTCTTTAGTTTCTCTCTCTAATTTCTGAAAAAGAAGACCACTCTCTCACTAGGATTCCCCTTCTCAAGTTTTAGATTCTCCTCCTATTATACTCCCGTTAGGCAGATGTCACGGACGTGATCTTGGAAGCCTGCCCTTTATCTCGGGCAAACACGCACCGTTCCACTTAACATCTTCACGGCCGGGGCGGAATTGTCACGATAGACTAACCATGACAATTGAATTGTCCCTGAGGCGTGAAAATGCTCCTGAAAGTCGTTGATCTTCACGGTCAAAGTGAATCTTCACGGTCTCCCGCACGTGATAATCTGTTCTTGGCCGTGACTTTTTCCTTCCTGTCCATTTCAATCCGTTTTTGCCCTCTTTCGTTCGACTTTCGCTCCCGAGGTCAATTCCACCTGCTAAAACATGCACAAACCTCGGGTAAAATCAAACCTCGGGTGATACAAATGCCTCAAACGTCACAAGAATATGGTTTGAAAACATGTGTAGTTAAGGTCGGATCAATTTACTAGGAAATTGGCACACTTATTACTCTCTCGATAAATATAAGAAATAGTCACTTCCTAGTTATGAGTGACCAATTCTCTAACCTCTAGATAATAGTTGGGTGCTAGTGGTCCGTCATTTCCTTACTCGTGAGGAGTTTAGTTGCACACATTAAGTCTAGCTCGACTCTGACATGACGAAGACCCATGTCTCATGCCAATTGAAGGTCTACAATAGTGTCTCTCAATTCTACCTGTGTAATAGAAAACCTTCTCAGGTTTAAAAAGCATACGTTGCGATACAACATCGTGTATGATCTCGGATCAAGTCAGCTGCAATTGCGTGGGATGAATTAGCAAAGACTAAGCCATCTGAAATGAGAGTACCTCACTTTGGAGGTGGTGGCTTCCAAAAATCACAACCTTCATTCTTGTGGCCTGTGGGTATAATAGAAATATTTACTAATTTGTTTTTTTCATATCATTCCACATGATATGAACATCATGTTAGGACATGTTGAAAGAAGCCTTATTCAAGATGATCCTGCCTGCGAAGGCCTGATCATTTTTGTCCATCCAAATGGACAAGTAGGTAATGCCAAACTGTAGAGTGTTGTCGAATGATAAATCGATATTTGCACATGTTGTTGCCCACCATTTTTACACTGTTTGAGGTTCGATTCTCGTGTTTTAAGCCGATTTCACGCTAGGTTGCTCTTTTATGGCATATTTCAGGTCTTGGATCGGCTGTGCATGCTTGGAGGAGAGTTTCGGGTCAAAATCACCAAGTGGACGAAAGGAGGAGCTCGAGGACTAAATTCCCCCGCCGGGGAATCACAATAGGAGACCAGGGAAGTTGCCCATGGTTTTCCCACGGTCATGACCCCTTAATCCCCGAACGGGGAATCATACTTGCGACCAGTGAATTTGGCTTCACCACTTACCTGTTGCACGCCGTTTTGAAGAAACCTGACCTGTCATCAAATTACCCAACCGGGTAATCAGGTTGGGGATTCGATACTCGGGTTGTTTAGTGCCAACCGCGGGTTTTGACATGGCATTCAAACTTTGAAGCTAAAAATAGAGGTTTAGATAGAGAAAGTGACGAAGAGAGATCCTTGAGTGCCCTAGATCGAGTCCCACACCATTGGAGCTCGATTCAATCCCCGAGGAGCGACGATTGACAACCTGGTGCCGATTTCTTCCATCTACACAATGATTTCCACATCCGGCATAGCTTTCCACTCTCTCTTTATGGAGTAATCCCCTCTATCGCTTGGGTATATAAGAACCCTAAATTGTATGTTAAGATGAGTTGTATACACCATTTTCCATGAATGATTGATTGATTTATATCTAGTTAAAGTACTTATTCAGAATTGCTTGAGTCTTGATCAAATTCTAGTGATTCACGCTTTGACCTAGAAAGATAATCTCTGCATAGGTCAATAGAGCATCTTGAATTGGAAGTAGTGAATCGACGACTTTAGTCGGGAAGTCTATTCACTGCTCTGCACTGGTTTAGAACCCAGCAGAGGAAGTTTGAATCTTATTGCCTCGGTTAGCTTACGCCGGTAGAGGTTAGCTATACTACGCATTAGTTTGTGGTTACACTTGGCCACTTTCTAGTGTGACGGTATGGGCAAGCCATCTCATATGTTGAAGAACTCAGTCTTGAAGTTAATGTTCGAAGAAATGTTGGTGGTCAAAAGGGTGGATGAGATATAACCAAGCTAACCTGGAAAAGTGACAGTCGTGCAACTCATGCAGGACCTTCCTAGGTGTCGTATGTTCTAGGTGCATGTGGGCAACCTGGCAAAGGATCTTCTGCTTTACTTGCTATTGGCGAGTATACACCCCTTTCAGCCAATCCTAGAAAGTGGGTCCCTTCCATTTCCCAATTGTCCTCAAGTCTACCTCGCACTCGTCTTCTGCATTGTCGATCACTTAGTCATAAGAAAACTTAATGTGAAATCGTCATCCATTTCTGGTCCTCAGATAACAACATCATCCCCGAGTTCGCCTTGGGTGGATGTATGTCCAGTACCTGCAACACATAATATTACGAGATGCTGACTTTGCTTCATGCCACTATGTAAGCATTTTAGTATTAATCCCTTCACATTTCAGTACGAGTAATTAACGTTTGACTATTAGCCTGGAATGTTTGAGTATTATTCTGCTACGTTTGAGTATTAGTCTGGAATGTTTGAGTATTAGTCTACAACATTTGAGTATTATTTCTTCCTTTCCTTTCATGGTACAACTGTTATTTCCAACGTTTTTTTGACAAACATTACATGGTGTATGCTATAGACATGAAGAAGAAGCAAACAATCATGTTGGACAACATCAAACCTAATGAGAACTATGCAAAGGTTTACCATGCACTAGATGGACAACAAATTTTCAAATATGTTGGTGTTTTCCTAGCGAAAAAAGGCATCAATGTCAGCTTCGATGATTGGGTCTTCAGCATTGCAGATTGTTCCACAACAAATTGGCCATGATGATTGCAGGATTTTAGTCTGCCAATTCTGGTCAAAATTGCAAGGTCACTTGGATGTTGTGATCGTGCTCCGGTGTGCAATCGAGCTTTAAATTTATAAATTCGAAGCACACTCTCTAATCAATCCTAACTAAGCCAAGTATAACCTAGCTAGGGTTGTAGTAAAGTTGCTCGGTCGTATTCCAAGTGATCCTTTAATGTGTATTAATACTTCGCTCCGAACTACTATCTAATCGGGATGGAAGTTTGGTGAGGGGTTTTAGCTAAATTAACCTACTCCTAAGGCAAAATAAACAACTAACCAAGTGGTTGGGAGAACGTTAGAGATGAGATGGTTGCCTAGGGTCGAATCCTCCTAGCTAAGGTTGTAAAGTAGGGTTAATCGAATGTGGTGAGTGAGCTCTTTTCCGTGGGCTTTTGTGATTATCCACACGCCTCCGAGTACGCCTCCCCTAAACCCATGTTCCAGTCACCTCGATCTAGGCTATCGTATATGGGGCATTAAGCTTATGGCTCATTTCAATAGACACTATCCACCGTCCACATCGAGGTTTCATCCCGAGTTTCATCTATATATTTGTATTTGTAGAGTGGAGACCATCATATATGAACGCCAAATTTAGATAACTCATACAATATATTAAATGAAAACTTGAAAGGAAGATCTATTTCAACCTATGACAATTGCTAAGAGACTAATTCAATTCACACAATCACAATAATTAATTAACTGCATACTATTGACATATATATATTTTTGTTAGGTGAATACTTCTATTAACTGTAATATAATTGCACTATTTGCATGTATTTTTGTAAGGGTTAATTATAACCATGTGTTCATTATAATATTTTACTCATCATATAAATTGTGAATTGATGCATTAACTGAATATTTTCCCACTTAATGATAATGTGATGCTATATTTGTTATTTTGGTTAACCAATTAACCAAATCGATTAATCTTTAATTTGGTTAATTTGGTTGTTGTGTTAGTTTGGACGGTTTGGTTATGATATTATATTCCATGATTAATAGAATTTTGTTTTGTTTGGTAATTACTATGGTAACCATTTGAACACCTTATTATTGTACGGATAACTGGTTCGGGACCTGCTATGAAAACCATCTAGCTTGTATTAGGGGTAAATATTCAGGCATGAAGGTGTACAATCTACTCATCATGTATGAAGTAACAAAACATTCTACACATTAGAAGAAGATACAAGCAGAAGCATAGAATCATAAGTTTCCCCACCGAAATTTCTTTCTCAGATGGGTAGCTCCCACAAGAAATTTCACTCGGACGTTTTTAACCCACTCGGATGTTTTTAACCCGTTTGGGAGACATATGAACATAACCAGTGGCAAGCATCTCAGAATTACTAACACTATGTTCATAAAGGACAAAAAAAAGGGGGAAGGAAATGTAGGGAGGAAAGCTCATCTCCCTAGACACTTTCCCCTGTTTTTGAAGAACAAGAACAGTGACCGCGGAAGGGAAAAAGAAGGAAAAGTCACTATTTAAGCCCATCCTCCAATTTGGAGGGAAAATGACCATTCTCCTCTACTCTTCCATTTTTCCTACGTAATTTCATTTGCTTTGCTTTATTTTTCTTATTTTCTTTTTCAGGCAAGTTGCCATCATTTATTCTCTATAATTAACAATTTTGTTAATTTCTTTCTTTTTTTAGATAAAATTTCGTCCTTATTTTCTCCTTCTTTCATAGATTGAACTAGTTTAATCGTAAATGTAGTCAATACTCTTTTTTTATCACCCACGTAATAGTTTATGAGAAGAGTTCTTAACAAAAAAAAAGAGACTAGTTAGTTATTACTTTTTTTTACTAGTGATGATTATGCTATGTTATTTCATCGTACTATTAGACATACCATTAGTTTATAAACAAATCGTTTTTTTTATGTATCTTATAGGTAATTTACTTGTACTATAGTTTAATATTAGCCATTGTCAACATTAATGAGATTATTTACTCTTACATAATCAATAAAATAACATATCTAATACATTTCCCAATATATTTTTTTCCTTCACTTTCCTCCATAAAACAACATTTTCCTTCCCTTTCAACTTTTCCTTTCCCTCATTTTCCCTTCCCTCCAAATTTTCCTCTCTCCATTTTCCTCCCTTTCTTCGGAAACACAGTGTAAGAAAGCTCTGGAGAAGCAAGCAAGCAACTCCAGAGAAAAATCTCGAAACAAACAAACACAAGAGCTTTGGCAAATTGCTACACATGGCATCCAAATATTTAAGAAAGAGTACCCAGCATCACTACCATCTTACTTTCTCCAGTTCCCAAGAATCTTTTGGAGCTCAACAGACCTGCAAGGAACAGCAAGCACTCCAGCTTGTCGAAGCCCAAATTCTTCTGCAGCCAGCTCAAGTAGCTTCACAAAGCCTGGATGGTCCAAGTAATCAAGCCTGATAATGAACCTCTTAGGTTCGCCATCATTTACAGTATACACAACAAAATGTCCCTCTCTCACATCTTCCGGAAGCGTCTCAGGTAATCGACCGAGATCAACTTTCTCCTCCCGTGCACCAGTGGAGGAAAGAACAGAGTGATTGGACCTTTGCCTAAACCTCTGATAAAGGATCTTCATAACCTGCCTCAAAACCAGTGAGCCAATACTCATTCTAGGCATTATCCCCAAACAAAAAACTTGTGTGTGAGATGAGAACTATGAAAGGATGCCTCTCACTGATAACTCATAAAGGACGACATTTATGCACAACCCTGATGAACACCTGTAGAACAAAAGGGAATTACCTAACTGAAGAAACAAGTTGTACAATTGCATGTGATATTGTGAAGGAATCATATGGTAACATTAAAGATCTGTTCGATGACTTTCCTTGTCTAGCTTTCATTTGGAAGCCATTGAGACTTGGGCCACCACCTTTAATAGCCAATTGAGGAATCAAATGGCATATTCACATGCATTTCAGCCAACTAACCCACAAAATGTTATCCTCAATACCACCTCCACATCAGAAGCACCGTACAAAGGTATGAGAAAAATGGTATATTACACCAACGGCTGAGTTAGGTTCTGATTATTGAGGACACAAACATGAAGGCCTTTTTTATCCTATTCACACGCCTCTCTACATTTGGGCAAAGAAGACATTCGAGCAAGTCAGTGAACTCCATAACCATGTGAGATCATATCAACAGCTTCCAAAACAATAAAGTGAAGGTCTTCTTTGCAAGAGGTATATTGGGAGCTGCGTCCAGGATAGCAAACCTCAAAGATGGATGTCAGAAGGATGCCTCTACATAGACTATTCCTTCAACAAGTGAAATTAGTATATGATGTAATTATGTCCACAAGCCTTTCTGTATCTCCATTATGCTTCAAAGAAAACGTTCAATTGCGGGTTAAAAGAGTTACCAAAGTTAATCTGACTGTTCATAGTTAAACCTGACCAGAACAAGCATTCCAAATATTTATTAATAGATAATGAAGCCCATTGGTTCTCCCTTGGGCAATCATAACAAAGCACTGTGCTTCCTACGATTAAATCAGAAAACAGTTATATCAGTCTTAATGATAGTTTGAATGTGAATCTCCTTTAACAGCTACAATGATGGCATACCAAGCATATATATAATTAGACAACACAATGCAGTAAGGGGGGTACAAAGGGGGGCTGTCATTTCATCAGAGAGGGGGAAAAAACCTTCATGCCTTCCGACTAAAAATAAACATAAAACATAGTTTGCTATGTCCTGGCTGCTATCTATAACCTAAGCACAGACCAGTTTATTGTCGTCTACTGCCCAATACTTGGTTTACCACCCTACTGACATAAATCTAACACGCAATTACCTCAGTAAGTAATTAGCAGTCAAGCGAATTTTCGACATGATCTTCTCTAGTTATAGTAGAATATAAAAGATTCGAAGAGGTACCTAAGGAGAGGGTGGAGCCTTCCTTTCCAAATCGATGCTCTTTGTGCTTCGAAGAAGAGGAATCCGTCCCAGCTTTCTTGGAAGGATCTCGTGCCCACTCCTGCAGTCATCTCCTTACAAAATGTACTGTCCCATTTTCTGTCACGGAGTTTATGTCCAACTGATAATTGATTGCACTTAAATGCCTGTGCGCTCCATTCGAGAAATTTCTTCCTCGTGCACTTTGCTGGATCATGTCCTGTCGCTTGAGTGAAATGTTGAGACTTTTCAGCAAAGTAGAATCCTCTCTTCCTGAATTATCAGTAATGGCGTGGCTACTCTAGCCAGGTTGTATTTGGAGCCCTTTCGCTCGCATATGGCTGCAATATACACCTTGTATAGTTTCTGTTCAGAAACTTATACATACCAAACAAGCAAACTTGAGGTAAACAGTATTATGCTATCAACGTAAAGGCAACAACAAGTGCTAACGCTGCCTCTCTGCAGATCAAATGATTATCACCGCTCCTTTGAACTTGGAAGGAAGCTACTCTGAAAGCAAATAAAAACAGCACAAACTAGGCAAGATATAGATACTCAAGAACCTAACCAAGTGCCAAAAGACTGCATTGAGTTCCACAGCTTCATAATCGATCAAAATTACATTGCGGGTCTCAACTTTCGGCACTCATTATTATTCATTCGTAGGCCAAACGTACATATTAAAGCAGCAGATACAGGTAGGCTTCCCAGCTACTTATATAATATCCACAAAAAGGGAGAGAGAAAAAAAGTACAAACCCCGAAAATCAAACCGTTGGTTTGCGCTCAAACCCGGAGCCAGGATCGTCATCGCAGGGGAAAACCTCAAGCGCAGTGACGACAGCAGATGGAGGGCCACGGCGGCACCGCTGCGCCATCTCGTCAACCTTAGCCGGGTCCCCGGAGAAGAGAGCCTCGACGGCGCCGTCTCTGCGATTCCTAACCCAGCCCTTAAGCCCCAACTCCGTCGCGTTTCCCACCGTCCAGTCCCTGTAGAACACTCCCTGAACCCTGCCCTTTATCACAACCCTAACCTGCGAAATCCGAAACCGGTATCAGAAATTCCCGAATCAAACCCCAAATTTGAGAAACACTGAAAGAGGGAGAGAGAGTGACTACTGTCTTGGGATCGGAGGAAGCGGAAGAAGTCATGGAGGCGATGGTGACGAGCAGAGGAGGTCGAAAACGAGGTGAACGAGGTTGTAACAGAGTGCGAAGAGGAGGATGAGATAGAGAGCGACGAGTGTGAAGCGAAATAGGAATAGGAAGAGGATAAGAGCCAATGCGAGCGATAATGGAGAGTCTAGTAGTACGATTACTGCCATGCTTCCCCGTGATGGTGGTGGTGGACAGCCATGGTTCCGGGTCCTTCGAGATCGAGCGAGATATTGTTGTTACGAATCTGGCACTGATGCTGACTCGCAGAGGGTTTGGCGATGATATTCCCATTTCGCGCGCTGTGAGGGGCGTGATTTAGATTTTCTGGACTTGTGTGTAGAAGTTGATGCCCTGTTGACCTGTTCACTTCCCATTTTGTTTTTTGTTTTTTTTAAATGAAAATCAAGAAACATTTTAGTTTTAGCAATAAAGGATTAATTGCATTATTGGTCACTGAGATTACTACAAAAGTTCAAGTTTGATCACTCGAAATATTTAAATTTATTGATAGTACTTCAGTTTATTGAAATCGTTCACGTTAGGCCACTCTCCGTTAACTTTCGCTTACATGACGGTCAACTCTAAAAGTTGACCGTTTAAATATCTGACGTGGCAATTCAAAATTAATAATTTTAAAAAATTGTCATCTCATTTCCACATTGTCAATTTGTCATGTTTATTTAAAATAAAAAAAACTAATTTGTTCTAATCCCAAATTGCCATCTCATGTCTAATTGGTGGGGGAAATTGATGGGTTTTCCGCAGGCAGAGGATTTAGTGGAACTGGAGTTGGTTTCCCAATTCGTCGACGATTCTCCTCCTCTTCATCGGAGGCCACAGTCGTCTTATTCGCCGCCGTTTTCGCGGAAAAGCCATTTGAATTCAAATAATCGCCGCTGAAGCCGCCAGTTTTCACGACTCTCCCACCTCCGCCTTTCCTCACTTCCCGAGTCCCCGCGAGAACGAGGACCAAACGAAACCGACATGCCGGCACGTGCTAGTTCAACGGGTCACCGGTGATTTCCGATTCTTCTCCGCTCACCTCCTCGTCGGCGTCGGCGTCGGCGTCTGCCACCTCCTCGGACTAATAACATTGAATCTTGAGTTGTGCAATCTAACTTGATTCTTCTACCCGTCGTATCCCGGTTCTATATTTGGAGAGATGACGAAACTTGCCCTGCGAAAGCTGCCATGTCAGACATTTAACGGTTTACCGTCATGTAAGCAAAAGTTAACGGAGTTGGACGAAGAGTGACCAAACGTGAACGGTTTCATTAAACTGAAGTACCATCAATAGATTTAAATATTTCGAGTGACCAAACTTGAATATTTTTAGTAATCTCAGTGACCAACCATGCAATTAACTCTAACAATAAATACAAGTGAATTGAATCGGTTCGATTTGCAGGTTGATTTGTTCAACCCTAATTATGGAAGAGTGCACCTTATCTTGAGCCTTCCTCTGGCTCCGGAATCAATCACCGGATATAAAGCCAAAATTTGATTTCCTTTTTCTTCCCTCCACTTTTCTCTTCTGTTTTCGTTTTCAACGACCTTGGTGTCGATTCCTTCATAACTTGTGTACTAGCAGATTTCCCCACTCTTCTTTCCAAATAGAAACGCGCTCGAGCCAGCCAGGTATGGGCTTCTTCTTTCGGTGAGGACGTAAGGTGAATGAAGTATTGAGATTCCTACCGACGAGCGTTTTCTCCAATGGCGGAACCCTACAACTTTAACGGAGAATCGGTAGACCCGGTTGTAGAAGTAGAACTCTCAGGAGACGAATCCGACTCCGACTCCGGGTCCGACTACGAAGATGACGGACCTCCGACTCCGGCCGAAGAGGAGGAGGAGGGGGACGAGTACATTCCAATTGCCCCGTCGCCTAGGGTTCCAGTCAATCATGTTCCTTCGCGTTCCAGCCGAGTGCTGAGTGTTAATGTTGAAGGGGAGAGAACTAAAAGAAGAAGGGGGGAGGAAGGAAGGGTTGCTGCGGCAGTAGCAGCTGAGGTATGCTCGCCGAGTTCTCAAGGTAGCCAGTGGAATCGTGTTGAAATTGACGGCCTTTTTTGCTCGATTTGCATGGAAGCCTGGACCAGTGAAGGAGATCACCACATTTGGTTCGTATATCTGTTTCTATGCTGTTTTTCTGTTTTTTGCCCCCCTCTGTTGATTCAGCAGAATCTTGATTTACTGGAAACTTATTTCGGCAGTTGTCTTCCTTGTGGCCACCTCTTTGGTTTGTCTTGCATTAACAAGTGGTTGCGCCAAAAACGAAGTTCTGGAAAGGTATTGGTGCTTGTTCATGGGTAACTTAGAGACCTTTCATTGGTTAATGCTTTCCTTTTTCTGCAATTCTAGTGCCCCCAATGCAACAGGAAATGTACATTGAAAGAAGTGAGGAAACTGTTTGCACCCAGGATTGCTGTGGTTGATGAGGAATCGCGGAAGGTAAAGCCAATCTCATGGACCTTTTCGCCATGAAATAACATACAATTTTTATTTCTCATGTATATGGCTTGAAATTCTTCTTTGTGTTGCAGAGAATTCACTTTCTAGAGACCAAGTGTGCATCTCTTGAGAAGAAGGTGACCACTGGCTACCCGTTTTCTGGAAGAAAGATGAAAGAGTTTTTGGTCTTTTTCTTTGGAGGAAATTTTTTCCGTATTTGCTTCATTAGCTTGTTTAGTTTGGTCTTTGTTGTGAGGGTTACATCAATGAGGGGAAGAGCGGGAATCGATTCCTATGTATCTCCTATTATCTCGACTCTGGTCATTGTTGACGATTTCTACCTGCAGGATGCTGAGTGGTCCAAGATTGAAGCTCTGTGGCACAAGAAGGAATCTGAATTACAACAGAAAATTAAACAACTTGTTGAGGTATGTATGTTGTCTTCACTTTCTGATCAGAAGTGCAATTGATTAGATTAAGTTTTGGCTTACTGAAAACCACCACTTCTGAAATTGATCTTTGATTAACTTTTCTATAGCATGTTCCTATGACTACGTAATCTTTTAGTTATATTTTTCCTGAATTTACTAATGCTTTGGGTTAAAGAGTGTTTATAGTGGAAATCTTATGTAGGGTTTCCTCTGTTTCTTTATCTATCTCTCTACTCGTTCTTTTCTGGTTATAGTTGAATTCTTTGCTATGTAGAGAACAGTTCAGATGCAGCGTTCATTGGATAATTTCAACAACACCGTGGCAGGATTATATACTGCTCGTAGGGGCCATCATGTACCATTTATACCTGGTAATATTCTTTTAAGATGCTGTGTTCTCTTGTTTCTCTCTCTCTCTCTCTCTCTCTCTGATTATATTGTGCGGTTACCATTTTTTGCTCCGTTCAAATGTGAGGAAACATCCTTAAGTACCTCAATCGTGAACTGTTCATCCTCCATCACAAGCGTGACATTTGCTTTTCTGGGACCTTGTAGATAATACTGCTACTTCAAACTTCAGCATGCAGGGCTCTTCTGGCAGCTTTGAGTTACAGGTGGGCAAGTGTTTCCTTTTGTTCTGTCTAAACTTTGCTTCTTCACTTTAGTGCTAAACTTTGAGGGGTTGTGTGAACTTGATCCGTCACTTTTTCTCTACGAATTAGATAGCCTTGCATGTTGGTAATATACTTTTAACCTTGCAGTGCAAGTTCACTGATGGTTCTTGTTCCTCGGCCATTAGCAAATTTCCTCCTTTTGTCTTAAATTTTATTACTATGATGTGTCAGGTTTGCTGAAATTGGTTTATTTGGAGATCTAGAAGTAGAGAAATGTTGGGAACATTTTGTTTGCATACAATTCTAACTTTCAAGTTTCAACTACCTAATTTTTTGGCATGTAACTTTTATGGGAACAATAACACCTACGGATATGCTTATGGTGTCCTTTACCTACCATAGGAAGAGCTGTATGTGGAAGGCGCACGCTTATTTGACATTAATATTTCCAGTCAAACGGTATTAGTTGCGAGAAGAGCACCTAAGGTTGGTGGATGCCATTTTACCAAGGTAAAATTCTAAATGTAATCATTATATTTAATTTTATTTGCATCGTTTACATTTCTCCTAGTGCACCACATTTTCTTGGATTTGCATCTGCAGATCAGCTTGATGCCTCCACATGGAACCAGTGAAATTTTTCATCCACTTAGTACAAACATCATCAAAGACTTGCATTTTTGCCCACGTAATACAAGTCTTGTGCTGTTTGCTTCCTTGGGGAAAAAGCTATCCATTCTGAGGTGGTTCTACTCTTGTTTATTTCCAACACATTTTCTTAAATTGTTGTCCTGGTTCTGTAGGCCTCATTGACTTGTTTTCTTTATTACAGTTTGGAAAGCAACAACATCAGTCTTTCATATGACTTGCCGGTGCGTGGACCTTCCCTCTTGAATTTCTTGTGCTTCCCTCTTTAATTTCTTGCGCCTCCTTATTAAAAAGCTATCACATGATCCCACCAAAATAAAAGCTATCACATAATACTGAGTTTCATATGCTTCCCTTCATTTCGAGTGGCATGTGTTTATGGAATTGAACATCGTGTACTGCCTAGTTGTACAACAATGTTTCTCTTCTTTTTTGCTCTGTTTCCTGTATTGCGAAATGTGGTAGAAGCAAATGAAATGTTGTTGATTTAGATAAGCTAGGTTATCTATGATGAGGTTTTCAAAAGCAAAACTTGCCGTTTGATTACTTGAGTTAGTCAATAATATGCTGTAGTTTCACTCTTATGTCGGGAAAACTTTCCCTCACAGTGCACCTTTTGCATTTGGAACTGAATCTGCATTTATAGTTCATTTGGTGTGTAACGAGAAGTTAAACATTTCTATGGTTTGATGCCCTCTGTGTTCTGCAGTGTGCCGCTTGGTCATGTTCTTGGGATATAAACAGTCCACATCATGTTTATGCAGGCTTACAGGTTTGTCCCTCAAAACAACTTACATTTCTTATTTAGAGCGTTAGCTGGGCATCAAGTGACGAGAACCTTAATTTCCTGTTTCAGAATGGCATGTTGTTGGAATTTGACACACGGCAAACTGCAAAGCCTCTAGAATCCAGGTCGGGGCTCTCAAATAATCCGATTCATACAGTACACTCTCTTCCATACAATGGGACTCTGCCTATTGGTGCCAGAACAGTGCTTTCTGCTTCCTCTATCGGCATATGTCAGTGGAATTTTGAAGCTGCTGAAGAAAGGTGGGTGTACAATGCTATTCTTACTGCGGTTGGTAAATTATTCTAAACAATTTATAGTTTCCTGTTATTTGATTCTGATGATTTCATGATGAGTGGGATAAGAAAGCTAAGTAGTTTTTTTTTTTTGTGCGGACTCTTTTAAGGCCATCTTTAGTCCCCACGAGTGGAAATCAAGGAGTCTGCATCTCGCTAGCACACTGTCCCACCACTGAGAACATTGTAGCTTCGTACCGTCCCAAGGTTGAGACATTACCATCCTGTGAAGTTGCTGCTACTGGTTCACAAGCATTTGTCAGCCACTCCTCCCAAGCTATCGGGCAAGGAATTCAGGGTTCTCATCTCCACTTGAAGAGAACGGGCAGCAGTTATGAGACTTTGGGCAGTGCATCGGCAACTGTAAGCAACATCAGACTGCCCCGATGCACCATCATATGCCGGAAGCAGGAGCAGCTGCAGCAGCAGCAGCCTTGTTTGTTTGTGTCTGGGGATGAAGCTGCACAAGGGTTGCTGTTGCAGGAGCTGCCGTCGTTTGCATTTAATCAGCGCCTTCAGTCATCCCGCAAGAGCTTCATCTCTGACGTGAAATATGCAAGTAGTGCCAACATCCAAGGGGGTGGCGTGTTGGGGTGTTTAAGCGAGTCTACCTTGCAACTTTTCACGACCAGGAGATAAAACGATGAAGAGTTAGGTAATCTTCTTGGGGGCATCTAAATCATGTTCAATCAAAACTCACTTGGTTGTTAAACTTTCCCCTTCCTTTTGTTAGTTTGTTCACTTGTTCTGTTTTTATTGTAGGTGTTTGTGGAGTGACAAACTTTTTGTCCAGTTCTTTCTCGAGCGGCATAGAGAGAGACTGCTGTTTGTATCCGTATAGCTATAGCTAGGAGTAAGCGAGCTTGATTCATGGATCGATCTCAGCTGTAGGTTAGAGTTAGAGGTGGTTCCAACCAATTGATTGTTTTCCTTGATAGTTATACAGTTTTAGTAGATACAAACATTTTTGTTGATAATTTATTGTGTGATTGGCATAAATGTTTCTTTTTTTCTATGACCAAAACTAGAGAGCATAACATAGGAAAAGAAAATGCGAGGTGAGGTATACACCATCTATGAACATCATAGTATTCTGATTGGGTCAGCTAGTGATGCAGATTTATTTATAATTAAGAAAGGGAACAAAGGGAGTTTACACCACAAACCGTGGAACCCCAGAACAGAACAACAACAAAGCAGCAACTTGAGATAACCCAGATAGCTTGGGTTAGTCTGCTAAGATCTCCTTTCATGACTCTCTAATCCAGTCCAATTTCTGCTCTTTGAGTTGCTCCCCTAGTCGAAGTAGGTGAAGCTAAAGCATTCTGAACAGCCCTTCTGCAATACTGCGATCGATTTTCTTGGCGCTTACTAACCAACCTGCAATTTCGCAGCCGATTCTGTAACAAACAACGCGAGGCGATGAAGATTGCTCTTCAAAAGATCCTCGAATTTCTTTCCTTCCGTATGCAGTATGCTCCAACAAACGGCGTAGAGCCAAACTTTAAAACACTACCGCGCGCTGGATTATGCCATCAAAAGGATGAGGCAAATCTTCAGCGGAGCCATCTATCGAACTAGAACAAATTTCAGGCGCTTCCTACTTCAATGTGCGAGAAATTCCCGAAAAGCTTACTTGAGCTATTGAAAATATTGATATAGAAAATTGATTTTTGTAGTTGACTTTAATTTTCTCGTTTAATATTGACTTCCTAGCTCCATCTAGTAAAGTTTAGGAGAGACTTATATGTCGCCCGATTTCATTGACGTGTTCCTGTATCTAATTAGGCGCGAGATTCCTGAGCGAGGCGTTTAGCCATTGCCTTACGCCTAGACGTGCCTAAGCGTAAAGTTAAACATTCCTATCTAAACTACGTAACTTATCAATGTATCAACAATATAATATATTTTTTTTCCTATCTAAAAGCCAGTAGTCTTGACCATTCCAAATTGTAATAATAATTCAGTACTACCAGTACCCCCTAGCTGCTGCTATCAATGATTTACTTATTTTTGTTGGGGCCGAGAGGTCAATTATTTGTTTCTTCCCCAGCCAGCACAACAATATCATACCCGGATTGCATGTCCCCACTTCTACATCAACCAACCCCCACCCGTTGCTGGATCTTTCTCTTCTAAGTTCTAAGTGAAAATGGTAACATTCATATGATGCACATTTGACTTTGTTACCTTAATCGAGATATGAATGGTTACGGTTCCTGCTTCTTTTTGTGTTCCGCTCAATATCTTCGACCCTAACAGTTTACGCCCAGAAATTTGATCTAGTACCACATCGATTAATTACAAGAAAGTGAATGACTTTATAAAGGCAGCTCAATAGCAGATGTAGTTGAATGGACTTCATTAGGTTGGGTTTTCGGCAAAATGTGGTTGCGCTGGTTCGTGCGCGTAACCAGTGCAGTCAAAATCACGCTTTAAAGCGTAAATTCGTACATTTCTACCTATTGAGAGGACATGAACGTTTCAGTTTCTATCTAAAGTCGCTTAGTACACAAAAACGGTAAAAATAACCATAAATCAATCGGCTTCTCCATCTTCACCTCAAACCCAACAACTACTATAGTACATTCATGTTTTTATGCTTCTATTCACGCTTTACAATTTTACCCATTCAATGCTTTTAGGTAGAATCGCGCTTTTGACTGCCTTGAACCTGGCAAGTGGTATTAGAGCTGCTGGTTGATTTCAGTTAGGGATTTCGAAATAAAAGAAAGACTTTAGTGAATGTGAAGATCGAAAATTTCACAGGGAAGAACAACTTCGATATATGGCAAATCCAAATGCAGGCGCTATTGAACAACAATGATTGTGGTGGGGGCCGTTATTTGGGAAGCCTAAGAAGATAGGGCTCGATGACAAGGAGGGGAACACCCTAGAGGAGAAGGCCCACTCGAACATCATGCTATCATTATTTGATGATTTCATCATTGAAGTTGCTATTGAGAAGACTGTCGCCGACTTGTGGTTGAAGCTGAAAAGTCTGTATATGACGAAGTCTTTAGCCAACAAACCACATCTCAAGCAACAATTGTTCAGCTTGAAGATGCATGAAAGTACGCCTTTGAGGGAGCATATAGAACAACAAAATGCCATCTTGTTTGATTTGTGTAACATAGATGTCAAAGTAGAAGATCCTGTTACTTTTTTTTCCTCGGTCATATGAGAATTTTGTGAATTCTTTTATTGGTGGGAAAGATAGTATGACGTTGGAGGATGTCAAATATGCTTTTCATACGAGAGATATCAGGTATAAGGCGTCTGGATCTGGTACAAAGAGTCACGCATCAGGGTTGTCTATTGCAGGTGTTAATGGGAAGAGGAAATCTTGTAAGAATTTGAACAGGAACTCGAAATCGAGATGTCTCGGTCCACATCCAAGCGAAGCATGTCATATATGTAGAGAAGTTGCGCACTATAAAGCTAATTGTACAAAGGGAAAAGGGAAATATAACAAGCAAGGTTCTACGGCCGGAGCAGAAGTAGACACCAGTTCTGAGGATGATCTCGCATTGGCTATAGATGAGAAGGTACATCGTAGGGATGTGTGATTTCTGGATACTGTAGCCTTGTACCATATGTCTCCGAACATGAACTATTTTGCAACCTACGAGAAGATAGATGGTGGTACCATGGTTATGACCAATGGAGTTGTCCGCAAGGTGGTTGGAATAGGGTCCATAAGGGTACGTACACTTGATGGCTCATTTGATCTTATGAACAAAGTTCGAAATGTTCCACAGATAACCAAGAATCCGACTTCTTTAAGTTTATAAACATTAAGGGTTTCAGTTTGAAGGGAAAAGCTGGAGTTGTGTATGTCTGCAAAGGTTCAAAGAAGATTCTTAAAGGCGTGAAGTGTGGTACCTTGTATATGTTACAAGGGTCTGTGTTGTCAGGTTTTGCGGTAGTTACATCTCTTGAGGTCCACCAGGAAGATATGATGACCAGTCGCTAGCACATGAGACTAGGTCATATGGGCATAAAGGGGATGCATATTTTTTCGAAGATAGATATTTTTGTGGGCATTAGGTGCGGTGGTTGGAATTCTGTGAGCATTGTGTTTTTGGGGGAAGTTATACCACATCCCACAGTTAGTTTCCTAAGAAGGGTATTGGCTGGACAAAGGGGGTGTTGGATACCTCCACTCTGATGGTTGGGGTCCTTTTAGAGTTGAATCCACTGGTGGCAACATGTTTTTTTTTGTCTATTATTGATGATTACTCAAAGTTTAGTTGGATATTCATGATGAAGCACAAAAGTAAAGCCTTCAAGATGTTCAACCAGTGGAAGGTTTTGGTGGAGAATCAAAATGGCATGCAAGAAGATCAATGATTTTTATGGTGTTTTGTAGTTCTGAGTTCAATGATTTCTGCAAGGATGAAGGGATTGCATAGTCTCAAACTGTTCGAGACACTCCATAGAAGAATGGTGTTGCAGAACAAATGAATCAGACATTGTTGGAGAGAACAATATGCGTACTCTCTAACGCTGGGCTGGAGAGAATATTTTTGGCAGAGGTAGGAAACATGACATGCTATCTCATTAACCGTGGACCTCAATAAGGTATCTTATTAACGTTGGGATGTTTGTGAGATAACAACTTAAGCGATTGAAGTACTGGTAGATGGATCGACTCGGATTTGATGTTTAAATACTTGCTCTATACTGCACCGAACTAAAAATTATACTTGGGCTATAGTTGGGATTTAAATCGTTGTATTCGGAAAGAGTCACATCCAGTCTCTCTCTTTGTACCAAAAAGAAGATAATCCACTAATCAATAATGAGCCTGCCTACCTCTCATCACCGTAGTTAGTAAAATAAGGTGCAGGAAAGTTGCGTATAAAAATACGTACGGGTATTTACTTCATTTCTAAGCTAATGTTACGTTTGATAGTGCGTTAATAATCATAAATAAATAAAATTAATTATTTTAAAAATAAATAAAATATAATTAATAGTAAAGTTAAATTCATTCAATACGGATATTAAACGTACTATACGGATTTTATACGTTTTTAGTACATGAGCCATCAAATGAACAGGAAAAAAAAAACGACCTGAGTACTACGAATACGAAAATTTTAAACAAATAAAATATGTACAATTACATATACGTATATTAAACAGAGTATTTGCTACCTTATCTTCATCACCACACTAGCATTCCACTTTAATTTGGATGGTACATAGTGTGAAAGAAACTGCCAAAAAAAGAAGAAGAAGAAGGAAGTGAGGTAGCGATTGCGAACGATTTTGAGCGAAGTGAACTTAGAATGGAGACGCAGTTTTGGGAGTTTGTTTAGCTTTGTCCCCTATGGCATGGCGTAGTATTCACACACACACTCAACTCCGTGGTTCCCCACCGCGCGAAAAAAAAAAGGAAAATGCAAATTGCATTCATTAATTATTGTAAATATATTCCCTTTCCCTACCAAATATATTTCGATCAATACAGAGCTGCCCACCGCCACCGACGCAAGGAATCAACGTAACCATCCATCAACTCTATCTCTGCATTCAAGTTCAATTGGGCTGCTAGAGCGCGAATTTCAAATCAATTATTTGATTTAATCGGCATCTAATGAGTTTTAAGCTTAATATATTATGTCAAGGATCCAATTAATTTCCAATAATTTAATTTGGATTAGTAGTGGGTCCTTCAATTTAATCGCTTACCATTACACTTGGCAATCGGGTCGTGTTGGGTAATTTCGGGTTGTGGTTTCAGTTTACGGGTCGGGTTCTGTTGAGTTGGCTTATTTCGGGTCAAATATTGACTCAATCCATGCGGTTTCGGGTTGGGTTACGGGTCGTTTTGGATTATGGGTGCTCTCAGAAACAATATCAAACATGCTTCGTATTTTTTTTAAGGAACACAAAATCTTCACATATACATGACTATAGTTTACCCTAACACATGTCAATCAACATATTCTCAAATCTTCCCATTCTAATGAAATTAAATACAAACTGCACAAATCGTCAAAAAACAATCACAAGCGTAATACTACTAGTCTACTACAAGAAACACATGATTATATTTGATTATCCTTAAACTCCAAACATGTCTTTTATATCCTTGTGAATTTTTTTTAAACATCTCACCAATTCATGAGTGATTTTATCATTTTGTGAGTTACATATAAAATGGAACGGGTCTAACGGACCCAACCCGACCCAAAAAATCACGGGTTAATCGGGTTCGGGTCATTCGAATTTCGGGTTATATAAACTTCTATTTTTCGGACGGGTTCGGGTCGGATTGTAATTTACCAACTCTTCTTACCATCAGCGGCGCACTAATCAACAAATAGCTACTATAATTGTGCATGATATGTGGCCATATCATAAGATAATATGATCAATTTGAACACTTATTGTGAAAAATGATTGTCAATAACAATTACATTATTGTACGATTTGAACACTTAGATAGCAGCAGCTGGTCAATCTGGCGCATATTCAACCCCTTTCCTTAAATGGGGTCCGAATTTGTATGATCAGCTGTTGACTGTATAGGCATCGTTTTCAGTCCGTCTCCACCACCACATCGCACGTACCGTACGTACATTATATTGTATTCGGGAGCCGACATGTCACACTGTGAGTGTGAGAACTGAGAACTGAGAAGAGAAGAGAAGGAAATTAAAGGGAAGCAGCTAGCTAGCAGTGGGGGAGAAAATCAATTATTGCAAGCAGGACTTACTAAATTGGTTCGTCAAAATTTACTCAAATTTATGTATTCTTTTTATTCTAATATGTTAACATATCACTGTCATATCATGATATGACAATGATATATGATGACAACCAACGTTTTTTTAAGTTTCACGTATTGAAACTTAGTTTTTTGAAAAATACATGAAAATCAAGGAAATGCTCAAATAAATTACACTGAATGGGCTAAATAAAGTTAAAGTTAAAATTAAATCCTCAAATAATACAAACAAAACTGACCCAACTCTTAATAATATATTATCTCTAAAGGAATTTCTTTTTTTTTGCCATATCTCTAAAGGAATTTCCTTCCGAAAGAAAGGAATACAACCACACAAACAAACACTCAGCTAAAAGATACCCATTTTATTAGAAAAACGTGACAAAGATTGATCACCTATCTGTGAATTCGTATCATGACGTATGTGATAAATATCGGGAGATATTTCTTTTTTTTTTATATATGAATAATGATTATATTTTTTATGACAAGCAATTTTGGCATATACGTGCAAATGAAAGAGTAATCAATGAGAGAACAAGTGGTTCTGTTGGTGATCATTAAAAAAAAAAAAATAGATCTATCAAAACTATCATTTGAGAATTGAATCCGAAAGCATACCTTATGAACTCCATAATTTCATTAATTAAGACATCTCTTGATAATTTAGATCAACAAATGAATTAAAATCATTGTTAAGCGTTTTGAAAATATGAATATTGAAATGCATTTCACACATGACAGACAGTTCATTTCAAGGATGACTACTACTTAATATAATAATTTTTTTGATGGGTGGTAGCTAGAGTTACTATGGTAAATGAAGTAAGCATAAGGAGCATGGTCCATGAAACTGTACCGGATATCGTACCGAAAATGTTAGTAGTATGATATTTTATGATAAAACCATGATTTAATCATAGTTTAATCGTTAGATCGTTAAATACCACCTACCGGTTTAGCTTTCGATACTATATTTCGTGGTTGAACCGCCGGTACGATTTCATGGACTATGATAGGGGCGGCTTTGGAAACTAGAAGGGTGATTGATTGTGGTGGGCGGGTGCATGGTCGGTGTAAAAACCCTCAAATCAGCATCTAATAAATGTACAAATGAAGACCAACTCTTTCCTTCCCTTTTCTCTAGTTTTCTTGCAAATAAACTGGCCAAGTTGTCACACTTCCATAAAAAAAAAAAGTTAGCTAGTTAAGAATTCAGTTTCACACTAATTGTCTCTTTAACCACACCCAATCAAGGAAGCTAGGTGAACTGAGGGCATGTGTAGCATGCTCGTCAAGCTGGTGGTATGCCAGGAAGTGCAATCGGATTCAGCTGGTATTGGTTACAAACTCGACTCGAATATGTTCAATGTGACTATCATGATCGATTTTCGATCTATAAACAAAATGATCCAATTGTGGTGAATTTAATTTAAAAAAATATATAAAAATTGTTTTTTTTTACTTGAATTTGAAAGTTGTTTATGTTATTTGCTGGATTTAAGTATACACGTTTAGATGTTGGCATTAAATGTTGTATTTAAATATTCTTATTTTTCATTTTGTTTGAAATGTTTCATGTTATTTAAATATGGATGTAGATTTTTGATAGATTGTTTTCAAATATGGTATATGTAAGGCTAAATACATTTAGTGTTAATGATTTCTCAATTTCGTACATATTTTGCTAAAATCTGAATAAACTTATATAAACGGGACGTTTCACGGTATAAATCGCTTTGAAAATATTAATGCATAGATGGTTGTCATGCCGGTGGCATGCCACCCGGTTGAACCTGGTTCAACTTGTGCCGGTCATGAAACCGGCATGACACCATCGGTATAACCGGTACGATCGACTTACGCATTCTAAGCAAAATGACATCATTTTAATAAATTTATTTAATAAAAAAATAATTAATTATTCATTTTTATGAATTTAATGGTTAAAAGTTCATGATATATGTTGGATTGTAACTAAATTGTCCACAAATATATTTTATATATGATTAAATACATTGGATATCAACTATTTTCACTTTTTTTTTTTACCGACATGAACCAGCACAAACTGGTTATACCACCGGTCGTATCATTCCACTTGCCAAACCAATACAACGGTATAAACCGGTTTGACAACCTTGAAAGAGAGAGAGGGAGTGATGCATAGACACACAACTTGAATCTGAATGCCCATATCCCATGCACCGAAATGATGGCTTTTAGAATGACCCCATCCCCCCTTTTCCATTCCTCTCCACTCTCCTCCCATCTTTTCTTCATCAATTTTTAGTCTCTCTTTCTCACTACGTCACATTTATTGCAATCTCTGTTCTTTTACTACCTCCTTCATTTCCAGATGAGATTTCCCTTTGTGTTACTTCTTCCCTCTTCTTATTCGATCCACCCATTTAATGTACACAATAATACCACCACCACCAATAATGGCAAGGGAGGAAGAAGAAAGAAAAAAAGAATACAGCAACAAAGTAAGTAAACTAACAAAGAAATACAGAGAGAAAAAATGATTTTTACCCAATTCTCATTGTAACACCTTCTCTTTCACCCACTAAAACTCAATATCCCAACTGCCCTTCTTCAATAATGCTTGCTCACAAGTCACAACAAGTACAAGGACACATATACTTAAAAATAATAATAACATAATAACTTATTACCCCCCCAAAAATAAAAATAAAAACATATAACACTTGTGAAAATGACACCCAAGACAAATTTGACTAATTTCCATTTTCCCAAATATGCCCCCCTCTCTTTTTCTCCAATCTTTGTGTTTTTTTTGTTGTTGTCACATTCTGCACTCTGGCGTTAGGGAACGGTCCCTTGACGAGTCCCAACAATAGTTGTACACCATATGGTTCCTCTGCACCCATCTCATCGCGCTGTACTGCTGCCGGGTCATGCCGCCGCTCCGGTACGGCGACGCGGTGGCCGCCCTGCACCACCGCGGCGCGTAGGCGGTGCAACCCGTGGCCTTGAAGTTCTTGTAGGTCGCCACGAACGGCTGGTACCTGTAGTCCGCTTTGTACTTGCCGTCGTCCGTGGCCCAAGCCGACGCGTCCCATATGGAACCGTACACCCACATCGGCCTCAGTGGAAACGTCGCCGCGCTTTTCCTCGCGTACCTCCTTATTGGCACATCGTCCACCAAGAATCTTTTCCCCCCACAAAAAAGCAACAAAAACAGAACACAATGAGCGACAATCACAAAAATAATATGCTTTTCCCCCCCTCCCCTGTTTTTTCACAATAATGCACATCGCCACGCGGCGGCCCATGAATCGGTCTCAATCTAATCAATTGAATTAATAACAACAGGGCAGAGTAAAAGTTTCATGATCTGCAGACTGCAAGTGCTTACATGAGCTCTCTGGGGTTCCAGATGATGGCATAGTGGTGGAAATTTTTGGTGGGATCGAACCAGAGGTGGAACTTCATCTCCCTCCCGATGATCCTTCCATCCCCACTTCCCCTAATGTAGACGTTGGTCTGCAAAGTGTAAGGCTCGTCGAATGTCTTGCCCAGGAACTCGATGTCCACTTCGTCGTGGTTCCCTGGATGAGCTTCACTGTTGGAGAGCTGCCCAACACCAAACCAAGTGGAAAAAAATTGACGAAGCTGTCAGTTACCCTTTATGACACTATTCATTAATAATGGGGCATTAACTAATTAGCTGAGATTCTCCCAACAAGCACTAAAATCCAAGTGACCCAGAAGAAGAAAAAACAGAGAAAGTTGTGTAACTGTGAATGATTATTGATCTCACATAGAAAGCAGTGTTAACTCCGGCGGTGTAGCCAGATTGGAGCTTAATGGAAGTGCCAAAATACCCAGATCGATATGGTTTCACTGACTTGAACCCACTTCCTGTAACAAAAATTAAATGACAAACAGAGCAAATGGAAACAAATGATTAGTGAAGAGGAGGAGGAGGAGGAGAAGTGGTAATTAAAGAGACGAAACTATGTATTTTGTGTTGTAGTGGTGGCAGCAGCCATGCCTGAAGTTCTGTCCAGCCAAATGGTGACTCCATTTCTGTCCACTCTCTGATGGGACTGACCCCAGAGTGTTCTGTAACCTCTGTAGAAAGCCATTGATCTGAACCGGTAGCTCGGGCGGTAGCCAGGGCGAGGGGGCCTGGCTGTAGCCATGCTGATGGAGGAAGAGAGGAAGAAAAGAATGAGGAGGAGGGAAGGGAAGGGAGAAGCCATTGGAGAGAGCTTATTTAGGTGAGGTGGGAAATAAGTGTGTTTTGTCTAGTATGTGTTGTGCTTGTGTTTGAGGGAAATGGAAATAGAGGGGGGTGAGGGGAGGGGTTTTATATATAAAGTTTTGTGGCATCAACTTGAGAGAGTGGGAGGGAGAGATTGGAGACAGCTTGGGGAGTTCTTTACATGAGGCTTCTTGGGTATGGAGGAGAGGCAGTGTAGTTGAAGGGGAAAAAAGAAGAGGTAAAAATAGAATGAGAAAATTTTATAGCTTGTATTGATAAAAAGTAAATTACCACATTTTTTGTGAAGCGGGAGAGGTTATGGAGTGGAAAATGTCAGCTTGTTGGTTTGGTTTATGTTGTAGAGTACATCTAATTTCTAGGGGCAATTTTGAATCCATCTTTAGGAAATTGGTGTCAAGAGGGTCACTTTGGTGCATTCACATTTCATTTTTTTTGTTGGTAAGGTACACTTACATGACTAGACAATTTTCACGTTTGTGATTTTTATAGTCAATGCTTTCGAAATACACAAGATAACCACTTTCGTTCATCACTTTAACGATGTCACTTAACAGTATAACTAGACCGAAAAAAAGTGTTGAGTCCAATCCACGGAGAATGAAAAATAAAACACGTAGAATCCCATCCTGATCGAGGAGGCTAAAGCGCTCTCGTCTTCACTCTGGTCTGCTGAAGCAGCAATGGAAATCTGTGGGAGTCATATTATTATTTTGTTAATATTATTGGTAGTTTCTCTAACGGTGTTAAAGTTTTTGACGAAAGTGTAGATTTGACCAACGTGTTTACAAAATCAAGCTATTTTGTGCATTTTAAAAGTTTTGGCTATAATTGTAACAAACGTGAAAGTTGTGGCTATGGAAGTGTATTTTGCTCTTTACCTACAATGAAATATGTAAACCTTATCAAATATTACTCTTATCAAGACGACCAAAGTATCCACATACCAAGTTCGACCCAAATTAACTCACTACTAACTTCTAAGCCAAGAAAAAAGAAATCCAACCCTTTCAATGAGCTTGATGACACACTGCAAGTGACAACACAGATTTTATGCATATTTTGACTTTACCTTGAAGCTATGATTTTTAATCCAAATTCCATAGCTCTCCCTAGAGAGATTTATCTTTTTTACTTCTAGCAGAAAAATGGAAAGCAAATGCGTCGTTGTTGCTTAAAATTTGGAGTTTGATTTGTAACTTTCTTGCATTTGCATAAAGTATTTTTCTTTGACCTTCAAATTTGTTATATTCCGATAAAATGGGAGGTTTCGTGAGACTATACTCAGCAAACGCAGTGCGTGAATAGGGCATACAAGGGGCTCGATAGAAGAGAAGAGAGGCGGTGGTGACTTTCAAATCAAATCTAAGACAGACGTATCCCACTGTTGGTAAGGAAATACGCCCTTACACAGCGTGCTTGACACATAATCAATTTTCAAATTTACAGTTATGGTAATTTTACATGTGTCCTTTCTCATGCTATAAATTAAAAATATCTAACTATTCAATTGTTGGGCCACTATTCAGTCTAATCTAAGATGTTTTCTTTTTTTTTGGGTAACTTCTTACACTCTGGGGTGAGTGAATGATCCCTTGTTGTGTCCATGCAGTAGTGATAAACCATACGGTTTTTTTGCACCCATCTCATTGCCATCAACTGTTTCTTCGATAGTCCACCAGACTGGTAAGGGGAAGCGGACACTGGTCGACAATGTGGCGTTGCACTGGAGGAGCAACCAGCTAGTCTGAAGTTCTTGTACTGTGAAACAAACGGTTGGTATGTGTAATCGGTTTTGTATTTGCCATCATCTGTTGCCCAATCTGAAGCATCCCATATAGAGCCATAGACCCACATTGGCCTTGTTGGGAAGGTCGTTATGCTTTTCTTCTCGTACCTCCTTATTGGGATATCGTCCACAAGAAATCTGCCCAAACAGTTAAACATTTACTATGCGCATAATAGTTCTCTAATTACCAAGAAAAAGCAAATGTGAGAAAATAAAGGGATTCAATCATCAAGTAGCAGGTATGAATCATCAAGTAAAAAGATATTCGATTTTCATCTAGTTCACGAGTAGGAGGTACCGGTTTTGCTAGTTTGAGCAGATTATGAATGACAAGTATATGCACGTTGATGAATCATTCGTGTCCTTAATTATTTTCCTTCTATTTCACTTAAAATCAATGATATGCTTGTAACTTGTATGTTAAGATATATAAGTATAACTTGACATACAACAAGCTTTAGGAAATCTTTTAGATTATGGTCTTTCATCCTACCCATGCTTAGTTGATATTGTTTGTCCAGATACATTCTATGCTCGTCAATATATATAGTTACATTTGGTGTTCGTCTATAGATAGATATGTTGTTGTCTTCGGAGATTATTGTTTTTTGGACTTTGTTACTCCACCAAGACTAAAGCTTCAACTTTCCAGCACCATTTGGATATTGTTGTCTTTGTACATTCAGTTGAGTCAAATACTTTGTGCCATGCATGTTTGGGTCATGTAAATTACAAATCTTTACGGATGATGATAAACCTAGAAATATTGCCCAAGTTTGAATGCAATAAATCAAAATGTCAATTATGTGTGGAGTCAAAGTTTAGAAAACATTCCTACGATTCCATCAAGAAGAATTCTAAACCTTCGGACTTGATTGACATGAACATTTTTTACATGAAGTCAACACCATCTTGTGGTGAAAAAAAGTACATCATAACCTTTATTGATGATAGCACTCGTTATGGCTATGTCTATTTGGGTAGTAGCCAACATAAGACGATTGATGAGTTCAAACAATTCAAAACCGAATTTGAGAAACAAACCAACAAAAATATTGAAGTTATTAGAAATGATAGAGGTGTAAATTGAAATTTTAGGGGGTGTGAATGGAAATGAAGGGAATGGAGCTAAAATTGCTCACTATATAGTAGAACATTGGTGAATGTGGAAGTGGAAATGAGTGTTTCAGTTTAGAAGCTCGCCAAGGCTTGTTAAAAGAGTAGATGGAGATGGACTCTCATGTCATCGTTGTTGATCACTTCGATTTTAATCTTTACTTCATAAGAATTTATTATTAGCAATGTAGGACGGTAGCAAGAATAATTTTGTGAGAGGGTTGGATATTTGACAAGCAGAGGAGAGTGGGTTTCACATGCAATTTACATACATCTAATATATTGCAACAAATTTTTGTACTAAATCGCACTCTGTCATCAAGGACAAAAAACAGAACTTTTTGGGGGATTCAAGTGATTAGGGTGGAAACTAAATCTGATAAGATTTTTTTACTCACATGATCTCTTTGGGATTCCAGAGGATGGCATAACGGTGGAAATGCTTTGTGGGATCGAACCACAAATGGAACCTGGCCTCTCGCCCTACGATGTTGCCTCCATCCCCACTCCCTCTTACGTACACATTGGTCTGCAGCGTGTAAGGCTCCTTCCATGTCCTCCCCAGAAACTCAATGTCCACTTCGTCATGCTTCCCTCGATGAGCTTCATTGTTCGACAACTACACACACACACACACACATAATTCATCCATTCATTCAGAATTTCCAATCACATTATGAAAAAAAACTGCCCCAGAATCTGTTCCTGATCACTCACATAGAATGCTGTGTTAACTCCAGCAGTGTAACCAGATTGAAGCTTGATGGAAGCGCCAAAGTAACCAGACCGATACGCCTTCAACGATTTGAACCCACTCCCTGTTTTTCTCGCACCAACAAGAAATAGCACAAGTTCAGGGGAAGAAAGCCAAGAAACAGAGGAGGAGGAGGAGGGTCTGGAGATGGATCCAATTGACCTGAAGCGCGGTCGAGCCACACGGTCAGACCGGATGGGTCGAGCTTTTGATGCCCCTCGCCCCAAAGGTTTCTGTAACATTTGCGGAAGCTGGTGGGCTTGAACTTGGAGCTGGGCAGGTAGCCAGGGTGCGGTGGCGCTTTTGTGGTAGTAATGCCATGCTGTCGAGGCAGGCGCGGATGATTGGGCGGCGGCGGCGGCGGCGGCGGCGGGTGGTTGGGTGGTGGCTTCTTTGGTCCGGTTTTAGCTGCTGCGGTTATGCTCGAGGATAGAAACAGAGCAAGTGTGATGATGACGAAGAACAGGGAAGGAGAAGGCATCATGGTATATTGCCTGTTGTTTGGGGGAATTATGGTTAGTAAATGAATGAATGAATGGCTGTAATGGGGAGAAATGGGGAAAAAAATTAGATTTGAAAGAATGAATTGAATCTGCCAAAAAGAAAAATATTTGAATCGATATCGAGATGTTGGCGTTGTTATATATTGGAGAACAGGGGAGGTGGACGAATTTACAGAGTCTGTGAGGGAGGGGAAACCTTATTGACTAGGCTGGAGGATTCAGCATGGAGGAGGGAATTAATTACGTAGTGTTAATTTGAGGTACTAATTAACGCCCTAACTTTTTAAATTTATCGCCCTAACTTATACAAGTTGACGTTTTAGCCCTCAAAATTTTCCCAACCTCTAACCAAATTCCCAATTACACTCGCTCTCATCCCTAAATGTTCCACCCACGCAAACCTTCTCCCCACCACAGAAGGCGGCGGAACAAAGGCAACTACGAAGAATTCCACAGAAGGCGGCGGAGTTAGGCTGTGGGAGAAGAATTCCGTCGGTGAAAATTAGGGAGTAGGGCGATGGATTGGGGTGTGGGTGAAGAATTTCGCCGGTGTCGTCATGAGCCGGATATTCCTTCCGCCGCCGACGAGCATAGCAAAAATAGGAACTAGGGCGATAGATTTGGGGCGGCCGTTTTACGAAGTGAGGGTAATATCGTTTGTTTGGTTAATTTAGAGCGAAAATTTTAAAAAGTTAGGGCGTTAAATAGGAATTCAGTAATTAGCCAAAAAAAAATATACTTAAGTGGCAAGTGGCGACTCATCAAATCAGGTACCTTTCGAAGCGTCTTATATCCAATAAACTACAAGTTTAATTGTTAGACAAATAGATGTCATTTCATAATTTGTTTTTCTTAAGGGATTCTTACAATGTGTATGTTCAGAAAATTTTCAGTTTAATGAATACTCGACCACATATTCATAGCAGTCAAAATCAGGACTTAATCGAAAATGAGGGTAAAATCAGAATCGTAAAATAAAACCGTAAAATGGAAGAATTTAAAGTCCATATAAAAATAAAGATGAAATAATAAGAAGAAGAATAAGAAAAATCATGAATAAGAATAACACAAAAATACATAACACTTACAATGATAATTTCTCAAGTTTAATGTTCCGATTTATCAGGGTTAATGTTGGGAAGTGGTGACTTCGATGATGATTAATCATCTTGCTATACCTATCTATGGATAGGTGATGCTAATGGTTGCAGTCTTCCACTGTCGCATTTTGAACACCTCATTCACCATGAAATACGTGAGCAAGGCGTTTTCCATATGTGTTACCTAATTATAAGGCGAATATCAGCGCATGAGTTTAGCATTCTATTTTGTTTATTTTTAGTTAAATTAATTAGTCGATACTTAATTAGTCGGATCAAAGAGAGCAATTACAGTGTAAAATTCAAATGCGGTGAGAAGTTTCCACGGTGGCTAGGGACTAGGGAGAGAAAACTTTGGAGTAACTGAAAAATGCTCGTGTGATACTAATTGTTGTCCTTTCTTCTCTTTATTTTTTCTTTTCTGGTTTATGAATTAAAGTTAAGCAGATACCTCACCCAAATAACCATCTAACTGAATCAATTACCAATAAAATCTTCTGTAGCCGCTCTAAAGTCCCAATACATAATGAGTGTTAGCCATGTAAATTATAAGAAGTCTTGTCTTCTGATACTTTGTTTTGGCAGTCTTCGAGTAGGAGGTGTTGGGGAAGATGATTAAGTGGTGTACATTAATAATTAATTAATTAATTGACAAGGTTTTAGTCTTTTCCATGGAAAGAGTCTTTGCAGCTAACAAGTAAACAAAACCCTTCAACTAATATTACTGATGCGATTATTTGTTCTTGTTCATGTCATATCAACTAAATTAAACAGAAAAATGTAAAGGTTTCAAAAGCATGAGACATTAGCAAACTACGATGGTGGACTTGTTGTGTGAATAGAGTGCTGTCGTCATTATCAAATTTCGAACTCGCTTAGGCCTTATATATCTAATAATTATTATTCCATATGTACATATTTATAGTGATTAATCAATACTGGGTCTGGGATAGGTATGGAAAAATCTATCAATCCACAGGATAAAATAAACCAAGGTTCAAAAAAGTGTTAGGCGTAAAGTGGAAATTGAGACTCTATCCAGCTCCTAGCATTTCTAAACCCTTATACCATCTTGTCTATCTATCATTCCTAAACCCTCATCAATAACCAATGTTCTAAAAAGCGAGTCTAGGCACTCGCCTAAGCTCGCCTAGACGCAAGTCAGAAGGAAAACACGTCACCTTGGCCAAAAGCAGCGGATAAGGCATCATGATAACTTTGTGGCCTCAGTGACGCCTATTTAACATTGAGTTGCGCCTAAAAATGATGTCACAATATCTTTTTCTACCTTTTCATATGCTACTAGGTTAAAGAGAAATCAAGATCGTCCTTCCTTTTCCTTCTTCTCCTCCCAATTGTTCCTAGCTGCTAGGCTAGAGTTAGAGACGACCATCTATAGAGTAGTTTCTTGCGTAATGTCTAATTTTTTATCCAAATCTTTTTCACATTCTTTTATATTATCCAAATCTATTAAATGCTATTAATTAGCCAAATCTTTTGTAATGCATCAAAATATTAGTCATTTTTATGTTATCGTTAATAATTTTGTAACTCTTTTTTTTTTTAACTAAAATACTAAAATTTTGGAAAGTTGACCTTCGTGTGTCTCTTCCAAGTCAGTATCATGTTGCCAAGTCAATATTACTAACAAATTTGCTAACTGGAAGTTAACTTTTGGCTAATTCTTAGTATTTGGATAGATTTGGCTAATAAAAAAGAATCCGAAAAAGGTTTGACTAATAAATAGTCATTCCCTTAGTTTTTTTTTTTTTTTGCGCGTCTTCACTCTCAATCTGCTTCGCTATTTCCCATATTCGTCTTCCTTTCTCATTTATCCACACTTTGTTTTATACTTTAGCATGTATTGTTGATGAAGATTTAGAAATGAGAGGTAGTTGCTATGATATAGGTTCATAAACTTGTGATTTTAGGCAAGTGTGGGATACTTTGATACTCAGTATGGGGAAGATATGAATGAAGAAGAGAGAGATGAGGTTGAAGAAAAATATGAAGATGTTTTGGGGTTAATTCGTGTTGGTGCGCCTGAGAAGGCCATTTACTTTGACCATGGAACGTTACCCGGCCTTGAAGGACTCATAGCATTGGACCTTTTTTCATCAACTCTTTGCCGAGACGAGCCCATGGTATCACTAATCCCTCTTTGATAGGTCCAATGATGACCTTCGAGGATGCTTGATTTGGTTCGAGAAAAAGAGAAGAAGAGAAAAGCTGAAGAGATGGCCCATTGGTGATGTGTTTAGCATTCTCATCTACATGAGCCTTCACTGCCGTGAACTTCCATCTCGCAGCCGTGAACTTGCTTTTCCTCTTTAACTCTATAAATAGGGGACCCTTCCACTATACACGAGAGCAAAAAAATACTTGGTAAAATTTTGATTTTAGAGAGAGGTTAGAGAGAGAAGCTGAAAGAAGGAGAAGCCAAGAAGGAAGGGATCTTTCCCGAACTCAAGGTATTAGGGGTTTAATCCCCAAACCCTAGATTTAGATTTTACTATGTAGAATGAATTTTTTTTAGGGTTTGTGAATGAAATGAGTTTACCTAGATTTTATATGCATTTATCTCTGTTAATTATGATTTGAACTTGTCTCTCTATATGCTTTTCATGATAGCCTACTACTTAGGATTGCATGACATAGTTGTGGATTTGAGCGGTTTGGCTTGTTAGTATAGATGAATAATCTAGTGGCCCGATTGGTGGACGAGCTGGCATTTTTTTCCAGTTAGGATGCCCCCTAGGTAATGCTAGGGCGATGCTTGCGTGACCATCGATATGTCGAACTAGTGTGCTGATAGATGAAACCTATTGAAAGGGTCTAGACCGCATCCTTAGTATATTTGAACTTGATCGAGGTGACATTGGGCCAGTGGATTGTATTAGGAGGGGGCGCTAGTTGCATGACCATTGAGTTATACTTGGATCAAGATGTTACAGTTAGTCGAGCCATGCAAGCAATTTAATAACCCACATGGGGATGTCACCAAAGATCAAGCAAATACTTTAGAAAACTGTTGAAGCAAGAAAGGACTGGTCTATCAAGTTGGATGACGCTCTCTAGGCTTATCTAATAGCATACATGAATCCTACAGGAACTTGACCCTATAAAATGGTTTACGGGAAGGCCTGTCATCCTCCACTAGAGGTGGAGCATTATGCTTACTAGCTATCAAGGAGCTAAATCTGGATCTTTCATTAGCTTGTTGGGAAATAAAATAACAATTCCATGAACTCGAAGACTTCCAATTCCATGTCTATGAAAACACAAAGTTATACAACGAGAAGGTGAAAAGGTTCAAAAATGCAAAGATTTTATGAAATTAAAGGACCTTCAATAAGGTGAACAAGTGCTCCTCTTAAACCCAAGACTACGACTATATCCAGGAATGCTTAGATCTCGATGGATGAGAGACTACACAATATTCATATGGTCAATCAATATGGAGCAGTGGATCTCTATAACAACCAAGGGAACATATTACTAGTGAATGGCGAACATTGCAAGCCATATCTCCCAAATTAACCTATCCTCTATGTTGCAGACATCTCATTCTCCAAAGGTAACTAAATGAGTTACGCAGTTTCGTAGGCCTGTCTAGATGGGGGAAAAACCCTTAGCTTCACCATTGCAGCCATAAGGGAGAAAATCCAAGCTTGAAAGAACCTTAAACAGGAAATCCAAGTTAACATTGTCAAACAGCTCCTCAATCTTCAATTTGAATAGAAAACCCGACTTTTACTCCTTCTCCTACTATCCACCAACTTAATTATAATCAAATCGTTCTTTGATATCTGCCTACCTCAAACCTGGTCTTCTTGCTTTTTGGATACCAATTTAAGCAGAACCATCCTAATTCATTG